GCAAGCATCACCATGATCCCCAAAGCAGAGAAAGTCCCAACCGAAAAAGAGAAGTGCAGACCAATCTCACTAATGAACATAGATGCAAAAATCCTTACTAAGATACTGGCAAATAGAATTCAGAAGATCATCAAGAAGATCATACAATCTGATCAAGTGGGATTCATCCCAGGGATGCAGGGATGGTTCAACATACGCAAATCAATAGATGTAATAAACTTTATCAGTAAAGCCAAGGACGAAAACCATATGATCTCAATTGATGCACAAAAGGCACTTGACAAAATCCAACAAGCATTTATGTTAAAAACCCTACAAAAAATTGGAAGAGATGGTCTCTACTTCAATCTGATAAAAGCCATTTATGAAAAAGCAACAGCCAATATCATATTAAATGGTCAAAAAGAAATCCTTCACACTAAAATCAGGAACAAGACAAGGATGTCCACTATCACCACTCCTGTTCAATATAGTTTTGGAAACATTAGCCACAGAAAATTAGACAAGACAAAGAAATAAAAGGAATAAAGATAGGAAATGAAGAAGTCAAACTGTCACTATTTGCAGATGACATGATACTTATATAGAAGACCCCAAGAACTCCACCAAAAGTCTTCTAGACTTAACCAAATTCAGTAATGTAGCTGGATACAAGGTCAACACAAAAAAATCAATAGCTTTCTTCTACACAAACAACTGAGAGAGAAATAGGGTAAACAATTCCTTTCACAATAGCATCCAAAAATCTGAAATACCTAGGAATCAACCTAACAAAAGAAATCAAAGACTTCTACTCTGAAAACTATAGCACTCTGAAAAGAGATACTGAAGATGATATCAGATAAATGGAAAGACATCCCTTGTTCCTGGGTAGGAAGAATCAACATAGTGAAAATGGCCATTCTTCCAAAACTGCTACATAGATTCAATGCAATCCCAATTGAAATTCCAGCAGCATACATCATGGACCTTGAGAAAACAATCCAAAAATTCATTTGGAACAAGAAGAGATCTAGAATAGCAAAAGCAATTCTAGGCAACACAGACATGGCAGGGGTATCACAACTCCCAACTATACTACAAAGCCACTGTGATAAAAACAGCATGGTACTGGCAAAGAAACAGACCTGAGGACCAGTAGAACAGATTAGAAGATGCAGAAACAACGCCAGACACACTCAGCCATCTCATCTTTGATCAAGGAGCCAAACACCCTCACTGGAGGAAAGATAGCCTCTTTAATAAATGGTGCTGGAAAAATTGGACTTCAACTTGCCAAAGATTAAAACTAGACCTATATCTCTCACCATGCACTAAACTAAAATAGAAATGGATTAATGATCTTAATATTAAAACAGAAACGCTGAACTGGCTGGAACAGAGGTTAGGTAGAATTGTTGAAGACATTGATGTAGGAAAAGATTTTATGAACAAAACCTCCATTGCCCGTGAACTAGCACACACAATCAACAAGTGATTTCCCTTCTTACTAAAAAAACTTCTGCACAGCAAGAGAAACCACCAACAGAGTAAAAAGACAAACCACAATGTGGGAAAAATTTTCACCTGCTGTTCCTCAGACAAAGGTCTACTATCTAGAATTTATAAAGAACTTAAAAAAATCAAACCTCCCAAATTTAAAAACCCAATCCAAAAATGGTCATCTGAAATGAACAGATATTTCTCAAAGAAGTAGAGATAGCAAACAAACATATGAAATAGCAAATAAACTGGGCATTTGAGAGATGCAAATGAAAACAATGCTGAGATTCCACCTCACCCCAGAAAGAATGGCTGCTATCATGAAATCAGCCAATAACAAATGCTGGCGGGGCTGTGGGGAAAGAGGAACACTGCTCCACTGCTGGTGGAAGTGCAGATTGGTACAGCCACTGTGGAGATTAGTATGGAGATACCTCAAAGAACTAGGACTGGAAGTCCCATTTGACGCAGCTATTCCCCTGCTGGGTATCTTCCCCAAAGAATTAAAAGAATCATACCACAGTGATATATGTGCACCCATGTTCATAGCAGCACAATTTGTAATAGCCAAAACTTGGAAGCAGCCCGATTGCCCATCAACTGGAGACTGGATAAAGAAAATGTGTTTTTTTAATAAAATGGAGTACTACTCAGCCATAAAAAAGAAGAAATGAGAGACATTTATAGCTAAATGGATCCACACTGAAGTGATACTCTTAAGTGAAATAAATAGGACACACATGTAAATACTGAATAGTTTCTCTAGTATGAGAAACTGAAAGTGTAAATAAGGACTAAAAGTTAAAATAGGTAATGTAAAACAGGAAGAAAAGGGGCACAGGGGAATAGGAAGTGGGAAGGGTAGGGAAAAGGAAAGAAGGGAATGGGATTAATATGAGAAAATGAAAAATGGAAACAAAGTCTTTGTAAATAGGGAGGGATAGAGGGGTTGAAGGGAAGGCAGGGGAATGGGGAAAAATAAGAACCAAGATGGATTATATAAAGGTGCAAATTTCCAATGATGCATGTCATTATATTGTATATCTCAAATGTACCAATATAATTAATTAATAAAAAAGTGAAAGAATTGAAAGGAAAAAGATGTAACTACATGTTGCAGACTTAAACCTCTCTCTCTCAAAATGAAAAGAGAGTCAGTAGGGACATAAGAGAACTTAACACTACCAATCAAATGGATCAAACTGACATTTATAGAACATTTCACTCAACAGCCGCAAAATATACAGAGATCTAAGTATCTGCAGACACACATCAGGAGCAGGGACAGTGAACTTTACCTGTAAATGGACAGAGCAAGTATCTTCAGCTTTGTGGGCCAGTTTTGTTGCAGAAACTCAACCCTGGTACATAGTTTAAAAGCAGACCACAACAAACACGAACAAATGGTGTAGTTGTGTTCTAAAATGGTACATTCATAAAAACACAAGCCAACTAAATTTGGCCTATTAATTTGCCAAAGATCTCCCATAAATCCACAAGACAAAGTGAAAAAATTTTTTAAATACTTGAAATAATACAAGAACAGATTTATAAAATAAAAAGGTATTCAGCATCATTAATTATCCAAAAATGCACATTTAAACATTCTGAATACTACTACATAACAGAATGGCTACATTTAGAAACTTTTTGTCCACGACTACTAAAGTTGAAATATATTATACTAAAAATAAATAATTGTGCTCCAAGGTATATACCGAGCAAAATGAATACATTTCACACCAAAAGAAAGGATCAAAGAACCTTTCATCAAAATAGCTCCAAACTGGAAGGCCACAGTGGAGCATACCTGTCATCCCAGCTACTTGGGAGGCTGAGGCAGGAGGATCGCAAGTTTAAGGCAAGCATGGGCAACTTAGTGAGACCCTGACTCAAAACGCAGTGGTACAGAACTTGCCTAACAAGCATGAGGCCCTGGATTCAATCCTCAGCACCCCCCACTGCCCCCACAAGCCAAGTTTCTATCCACAATAAACAGATAAACTGTGGAATACTAAACAATGAAAACTAAACCATAACTACACTTAAGTATATTAACCAATTTCACAAATGTAGTAATGACAAAAGAAAGAATTTAGACAAATTCCTTGAAAATTCAAAAACAGGCAAACAAAACTACAGTATTTAAAGATGATGAATAGGAAAAAAGACATGGTCAGCATAAATTAGCTAAGGGTCTCCTGGGGCTGCGATGGGAGAGTTGAGTGATTGGGAAATGCCTTCTAAGAAGCTGGCAATATACTGTTTCTTTGCTGAGACCATGTTTGTGAAAAATTATTGGGCTCCATGTTTTCACTGTATGAAATTTTCTATCTGTAATGTTTCATGAATTAAAGTTTCCAAAACCAAAAAGACAATTTATTAAATCAGAATCCCCTATTTGTCAATTTTGGTGGCAATAACTTTCAAATTTATAAAAAAGATACATTTATGGTGTGAAGCTTTGAGACATTTACAAGAGGTTAACTTAAATACTGCACATCTCTGGGCTGGCGATGGAGCTTTGTGGTAGAACACCTGTTGAAGATGAGTTGGGCCTTGAATGTGATCTCCAGCACCACAAAAAATTACAAAAATAAATAGCACACATCTCTAAGGTTATTAGAATAGAATTAATATCAACAGCTAACTTATATAGATATAAGGAACATGGCTACTATATAGATATGTTACATATTTTTTTACTACAAAGAAAAATCATGTAGGCGTTCTAGTGGCTAATTATAAGCACTGTTTATGTTAGAGGCCAACTAAATGGATTAGAGAAAAAAATATGTACATCTGTCCTGAAAGAAAAGTTTCCAGGATTCAGTAAGCTAAAAAGGAGAGTTTGGTTAGGAATATGGATCTACAAAGTAGAATGCTATATAGTATTCCAGCACGTCCTATGGAGACAAAGACTGCAAATTTCTAATATAAAACAAAGAAGACTGCAAGAGGTATGGAATCAATATTTGTCCTTCAGAGCAAAGAAGGCATAGCAGTCATATTTCAACCTTATGCTGAATACAGCAGCTTTTTACAGGTAGCAAGAAGGTGTTAAGTGTTTGTTAAATTAAGTATAGACAAACACCTCTGCTCAGCACATTCCACCATACTTGAATTCAATAAACAGCTGATTGAAGATATACAAAGAATAATGACTGTGTCTGTGCTGGAACTGAACTTTCACAGACTTTTTGCTCGTCATAATCCCTAAGCAAAACAATATAACAACTGGTGACATTCACACTGCACTAGGTATTACAAGTAATGCAGAGATAATGTGACGTACACAGGACGATAGGTTATGTGGGAATATACTGTTTTACGTAGGGATTGAGCATCTGCAAATTTTGGCATCCACAGGGAACTGGAAACTTGTCAGATACCTAGAAGCAATTGTATTAAAGAATCCTAAAATATAACTATTAAAAACTTTTATCACATTATGCTTTCTACCTTTAAAAATATTGTTAAAAGCTTTTAGGTTCAAAAATTAGTTCAGGATACTATACCTGAATAACTGAGGCTGATTTATTTTGAATTTTTTCCAGTTTTTCCTTTCTTAACATTAATAATTTTCTCTGTGCTAAGATTCTTCGCCAATATTTCTGAATGATCAACGTTGCATTAGCCTCTTTTTTCAGTCGTTGTTTGGTTAGAAAATTGATTACAGCTGATTGAATAATTCTTGCAGCTTTGTCTCTCTCCTTTTAAAACAACAACAAAGCATGTGTGAATTTAATACTTAATTACTTAAAACTTTAAATTATTCTTTGTAAGATAATCAATTGCAAAGCATTTATCAAATTGATCCCAATTTCTTGTGTTCACAGTTGGAAAATAGCTACTTCTGGGAATGTTGAAAGGGCTGATAGATGATGGGCTTGCAGACTTATTTGTGTGATGACACAGATTCCTAATAATCTACAAAAAAGATCACAGACATGTTTCATCTATCACAGATCCCCAGTAAACAAGATAAAAGCAATTTGAAGTATAATAAGGTATGTTTTTCAGGTCTGGGCATAGTGAAATTTATGCTTGACTTTTAGGAAAGTGATAGAATATATAAGAACTGATTTTGCAGCAAAAGGTAGCATTATTTTGTTAAAACTGAGCAAACTAATTCACAAAAGGGGGGTAAATAAAATACCATTTCCTTTGACATAGTATACAGGATGGCATTAAGCCATAGAGGCTCAAGAGAAGAGTATAGTTTGGGTTGTGAGAAGTGGCATCTGAAATGACCAGCACTAGCTTTAAGAACATTAGAGGTCAGTTCCCTTTATATCTCTTTCTTTTCCTTCTAAAAGTGAACTACCATCAATAATACATTTTATATCCAGCACCATGGTAAACAATTCATAAATTATACATTTGAACCTTGTAAGAGCAAAAGAACAGATACTATGTTGTAAACATGAGAAAACTGAGGCAAAGAAGTCAAATGGCTTATCAGTCTACTGGCAATGTGGCCAGGACCTGAACCAGGTCATCTGGCTTCAGGGGCCATGCCCTTAATCATTTTGTTAATACTACCCAATGCTAAACATGTCACTTCACCTGAATTGGAAACTAGAATATGAATTATTTCCTCGGGTGCAAAAGAACAACTTATAGAATATCTGACAACCTTGTATGTTGCTGTCTGGGACAATCTGCTATCAAGGGAGGGCTCTACATGAAAACTAGCTATAGATTTTAATTATTAATAAGTAATAATCAGTTAGTATAGTGCCTACATAGGATGAGAACACAACTATGGAAGAGATCAAAGTGTTATTCTAAAACATGAAAAAGGTAACCAAGACATCAAAACAAATACTAAGGAATGTTAAGGGACACATACTGTATCATTCCACTGAGGAGAAAAGACTAGACTGTTTCAAGCCTGGGATAGGGGAATTAAGTACAGCAAATTGATTAAATCATCTAACATCACTGTCATTGTCGCTGAAAAACCTATGGCCTTTAGAGGTATAGATTTTCAAGTTAAAATTACACCAGTATTAGCAAAAATAAATGAATGAATAAAATGTTTTAAAAACTGGTATGTGTCAGAAATATACAGTATATGGGTCATGCCACTCCATTTTAAGTGGATAGTGTATATATGAATTATAATAATGAAATAAAAATAGAACCTGAAAAACAGTTAAGTTAAGGTAATTTTTATAAGCTTACTAGGCTAGCATCTTTGGGAGCCTGCCTGTGGCTTATGCATCAAATGCAGAAAGATACAATTGGATGTAATGTAATTGTGTAAGAGAGAGAATATGATCACTAGGAGAAAGGAGAGATGTAGTGATCAGATTGGATGAAGTTTAATCATAGATACAGAAATTTCTTTTAGCCTTTCAAAAAATGAAAATTTCTACTCTTTGCATTAAAGAAAGAAATCAGAAAAGGCTACCAGCCAAAGCTAAGAAACCCTTACTGACTAAAACAAGGCTACACGGGGCAGAAAATAAAGCAGAATAGATATGTTCTGACTGACATCTGATTCTATAATTTGAAAACTCACTAACATATAGAAAGTATCAATCAAATAACTTGAAGACTGATCAGGAAAATAGTTTTCCTTGAAAACTTTGGAAAAACAATTCTCATAGAAGCTTCCAGCAGTACAGTTATCCTCAAAGTGATCTATGGGAAAAGAGGCAGACCCCAAAAAGGGTTGGGTAATATAAGGCACAGAGCCTACATAGTAGCAGAGAAGACCATTATAAAGACTTTCTATTTCCCAAGCTATGACCAGGACACTGAGTGGAACAAGAGTAAATCACTTCAATATGTGGTTTTTTTCCAAGTCAAACATGACTTGAGAAAATACATGATGCTGAAATTTAGCTATTTTAGATAGCTACTAAGAATTTGACCACAAATGCACTGTAATTTAAAATTGAGCAATACTGGATAGAGTGTATTTCTGAAATATCTATGATAAATTTTATTAAAAAATGGCTGCTTATTTGATTTTTCCAAATAAATAAATATAGTATTAGTAAAGGGGATAGGGAGATAAAAGGATCAAAATAATTTGTTCACTTGATCACGGAAATCATTTACCGGATTTTTTAAAATGAAATTTTTCACCAGGTATGGTAGTACATGCCTGCAATCCCAGCACTTTGGAAGGCTGAGGAAGGAGGATCAGGCAACTTAGCAAGATCCTGTCTTAAAATAAAAAATTAAAAGGCTGCAGATGTAGCTCAATGTGAAGGTCCTAGGTTCAATCCTCAGTATCCACACACCCTCACCAAAAAAAAAAAAAGCATTTTTCTCAAAATCTAGGGGGAAAAAAACCCTTATTTTATGCTAAAGTTTTGCACTATTGGAATCACAAATAGAGGCAATAAATAGCATCTCTATTCCTATGTGCAGTTCCTAAACATTTTGAAAAATAAAACAATGGAAACCAAATTACCACTTTTAAATCTAATAAAAAATAAGTTGGAAGGTGGTTTTATGACAAATAAAATGGACTTGTTATTTATTGCAAACTTAGAAACTTGATACGTAAGCCCAAGTGGTCCTAATTGAGGATAAGCTCCACAGAGCACAATATCAAAAAATTGCTCAAAACTTCCTGCTCTCTGGCTCCAGGTATTCCTACAGAAAGAAGGGAAGAGCTAAGTCATGCATCCTTGGTTTATTTTTCTCAAATTACCAAGCAGTTAAGTTATTCCTTTTCCTTTGGAGCCACGTAAGTGAAAGGGTAGACCAGAGGCTGGAAAGCACATCAAAGCCAGGAAATAGCAGCAATTGAGAGGAAATATTCATCCTTTCCCGCCCCAAAATACATACAAACAATTTTAAATGTATCTCAATCACTTCACATATTTGTAAAAATGTGAAATATACATAATGAATCAAACAAGTAGCCCTTTAAGAAGGACAATTCAAGTTATAATGTTTTTGCTTTCTAAGATTACCTGATGATGTTTTAGATCTTTTTTTAATTTATATTTTCTCCATGTTGTTTGTATAAGTCGAGCAGCTCTTATTTCTTTACGAAGATCCAACAGTCTTGCACAAAGAAATGACAAATACATAATAACCACCTAAAACCAAACACAAAAGGTGAAAACAGATCAACAGAGAATATACAACTCACTATCAGTCTGAGATTTATTAAGAGTTGTTAATTAAGAAACTTCTTTTACTTACCTTTTCATCTGGAATTGTATTTGACATATCTGAATGGTGAATCATAGCAGGTATCCCACCAAGATCTCTCACTGCAGACCTAACCAAATGAAAATTTTTCTTTTCATTTTCTAGAAGCTCTTTGTGTAGTTCTGAATTATTTTCTATTATGTAAGTGAAAAAGAGAAATTAGACTGGTATAGCCAAAAATCAGACATGGCTGAGAATTAGAAAAGTTAATCAAGAAAAATAGGCTAACCATGATTAAGTGCTTTAAGAGACATATCCAGAGAGCTATCATCAGATTCAGAGGAAGAATTTAATACCACTGAGCCAGTCTGTGTGCATTCCACCGTTTGAGTAGTACGCTGACATACAGCATCAAAAGGCACATAGCAAGGGTGGTAATGGTGGAGCAGGTAACATAATACACGGCCATCTGAGAAAGACACTGTAAAATTCTCCACCTGATTGGAAATACCAAAAAATAAAGTAGTTGTATTTAAATATTAAGTGTTTTGTAATCCGTTATTTCCTTTTAATAGCTAAAACAAATATTAATTGCTAAAACCTATAGTATGATACCATATCATAACCAAATAGACAATTATTGAATATTATCCCTTTCAAAAGCAGATTTTGATAATATTATTGTCCTGGGTTGGATAGTGTCCCTCAAGACTTCATACTCTTCTCAGTATGTGACGTTATTTGGAAACAGACATTATAGATAATAATTAATTGACAGGAGGTCAAGAGGTCACACTGGTACAGAGGGGATTCTTAATCCAATCTGATTGGTGTCTTTAGAAGAGTGACACACAGACAGAAGCAGGGAGAATGCCATATGACTGCAGAGGCAGAGACTGGAATAATGTAACAATAAAAAAGAACATCAAAAGATTTCTGACAACCACCAAAACTTAAGAGCTTGGAATGTCTCATGTAGAGCTTTTAGAGTATACCCTGGCCAATACCTTGGTTTCAGATTTCTAGCCTTTAGAACCAAGGGAATAAAATTTTATTTTAAAGCCACCCAATTTAAAGTATTTTCTTATGGCATTCTTAGGAAGCTACAATAATTATAGTCAATTCTCATTTATCTATTGAACACTGAAGGAGGGAATACTGAACCACTGCCCATTGGGGGAAAAAAAGGGTTAAGTTCCTGTGAGCTTCTCGTCACTACATTTTCATCAGCCAATCAATACATAACTCCATTTTATGTGCTTCTGATTCAATAACATTAAAGTCACACCCAACGGCAGTACACTCAATTCCTGAATAAAGCTTATTTAACTCATGTTGAGTTAAGATTTCAGTTTTCTCTTAAGAACACTATACAGTGCTTCAGCACTATATCAGAGGGCCATTTTAAAGTAGGAAATCAACAACAAAAAAGCATAAAAATGTAGAAAACACACCACTAACTAGGCCATGGAAAGGATGTGCGTTCATAGTCTAAGAGCTGAATCAAGAAGGTGCAGTATCATCTTGTTCAACCTCACCTGGAAATGAGAACCTTGGCATTTGCACATGAGCGAACGACCATCCATAAAGTGCACCCAGTGTTAACTTTGGCATTAGAAATAAGTTTTGACTAGCCACAGGATTCATGAATAGTGATAATGAACTGCATCTTACTTCGTTCTCCGGCACTTACTTAAGACCCAGATTATCCACATATTCAACAATTTGTCTGCTAATAATTTTGAGGTTTAATAGTTTACTATATTTTAATTACATGTACTATTACTCTCGCTGTTTTATATACCTTACCAGGTTGTTTATCCATTTATGTATGGGCAATTTATTTTCATATCTTTGCACTTTAAAGTTTCTCATACAGAAATACAGTACCAACCTAACAAGTCACTACAGAAAAACTCAACTTAGATTTTGCTTCTTCCCTTTACACAGTGGCAACGTTCGCAGTTGTGCCTTTCTACATGTTGGGTTTACTTGCATTTATTTTTATGGTAAGGCTCTGATCATTTTGTGTCCCAGTTCTATTTAAACATCTTCTATCAAAACTTTTTATCTTGGTCATTTTTTTCTTACTGATAAAGTTACCACACATTGCCTAATTGGTGACAAATTATATAAAATATAACATATGACAAAATACTCATTTGAGAAAGTTTGCTTGTATAAACTATTTCAAAAATGAAATAAAAGTTCTTATACATTAAGTCTGACTTTAAGTAAAATTTATTTAAAGATACTAGGTTACAATAAAAGCAAAAGAACCTACCTTTTTATTATAGAAAGCACACACAGCATTTACCCAATCCATCAATAATTTCACACTCTCGCTGTAGTGATCTAAGACACTATTTTGCCTTTCATCTTTTTTCTTATTTATAACAGCATCAGAATGGCATGATAATCCAGACATTGTTTTCTTTATACTGTGTGTGTGTTTTAGAAAGTTAATTTCTTCCTTTAACTGATCTAAATTAAGAGAGATCTCCACCTGAAACATAGAAATAAAGATAAATACTTCAAATGTTTTCATGTATTCTTTTTAATCCATAGAAATCAAAGTAACTTCTATTCTATTATGCCATTTAGAGAAACTATATGTTTGAAAAAGATATAACCTAGTCACAGATTTTAAAAATCTAAGAAGTACCCAATGTGTATTTTAGCACAAAAAAAACTTTTCTTAAAAAGGCAAATATAAACTACATAGAACTGGTAGACTGCTGCGATTAAGAACATGGGATATGGGCCACACAAGCCTGCATTCAAATCTCAGATCTAATTCTTAGTGATAATGTACTTTAGTGTCAGTTTCCTCATCTGTGAGGCAGACTTAACATTGAACTTATAGGTGTGTGATGAAGGTTAAACTGGAATACATAAAGCAATTATCAATCCCTGGGACAGAATAAACCCTCACTGATGGTTATTATTGTTAGACTTTATGTGATTCAAGTTGATTTTATAAATCAGTATTCAAAATTAATAAAAACTACAGTGTGCCAATATACAGTACCTGAAAAGCAAATGCTATTTTCCAAAGCAACCCAAGAGTTTTTTCTCTGTGCCTATCCACAATGTCCTTAGATAGGATTGTATTTCCTAAAAATGAAAAAGAAAAAAAGAAAAAGAAAAAAAAAAAAATGAAACAGAAATCTATTGGGATAATGTATGTACTTACCAATAGTCAGTGAGAAAAATACAATTTATCTTTACTCAGTTTTTACCATGCTCATCACTTAATTGAATTCCTCGTGATTTAAGAATCTGAAGAACAAGATCAACATTGTGCATCTTTTGAAGACGACTTATTGCAGGAATCCTGAGTTTCTTGGAAAGATCCCAGTTCTGTGTGAGAAGTTCCATGGTTCGCCTAACAGTAAAATAATTTTCAGATAAAATTACTACATAAAACATACATTTTTTTACAAAAAAAAATCCCTTCAGTTAAATATAATTATTACCTACATAAAGCTCAAGAGTTTAAGGACATTAAGATCAAAAGGACCTCCCAAAATTCAAAATTGCATTGCTCCATAAATAGCAAGTACTTTCTCATGTAAGTCTGGAGGGTGAAATCTAAGGGGACAAATGAGGGGGTGGGAGAAAGAGAGGTAACAGGATTGCAAAGGACTAAGATATGCTAAATGCATGTTTCAACTTCCCAAAATAAACCCAATCATGTAACAGTAACATGCACTAGTAAAATATAATTTTAAAAATTAAAAATATATTTGAGTACCTACTTAAAGAATACATGTACTCCAGAGTTCCAATTCAAATCTCTAATATCATCTAGGTCAATATGTCTTGTCTACTACAAAACAGTAAATTTTTCCACAGAAAAAGCAAGCCCCAAATGATTACTGTATGTAACTGAAAGCTGGTAGAATTAAATAGGTGTGATGGCTTGGATTTTTGAAATGAACAAAATTACATGTAAAGTATTTTCAGCAAATGATCTAGACTGAACAAAAATTGTTCATATAAAATACAGATAGAGTAATTAATACTATACCTTATAAGAATATTCAGAAAAGATTGTTCATGAAAACTTAGAAGAAAGGGACATATACGTTGATTTTGAAAAACTCAGTCTAAGGATCTCCTCCTTATAAATGTCAAAGAATCCTTCCATTCTGGCCAAGGAGTCCTCTGACCTCCGCTTGAACCTCCCCACACTGTGAACTGGTTTTAGGTAGGCCTGTAGACCGGCAAGCTTTTGCCAAACCAACATTCATCTTCCCCAAATTTTTGATATTATTTATGTATTTTTAGATATTGTTATTTGGATACTGATATTATTTATATGTTTATTTTCCTTGGCAATTTAATCACCTTTCAGCACAAGGTAACCCTTCAAGTTCTTGAAGACATTTATGTCTAAGAGTGCTGTGTTCTATTTCTCTAAATAATCACAGTACCTTCAATTGGTCTTCATGAGACATGGATATAAGGGTTTTAGTTTATACACTAAATATATCTGGTTAAAACAAAGAAGTTAACAAGTGTATTCAATAACTTCTTTCCTAATCAGTTATGTTTTTAATTTCTATTTTCAGCATGAAGACTACCTGCAATGCTCTTGCTATAACATAAACAATTCAAAATATGACAAGAAGATACCATGTCAGATAAAGACTTCAGGAAGCTTTACTGTAGTAGAAATAATTTAAAGCCATTAACTGTGTGTTTCTCGTTTTTCAGAGTTTAACTGGCTGTTTTGAGGTTTAACAACTTAAATACACAGAGAAAAAAAATATCTTAGGTATAAAAAAATACTTTCCTTTGACTCTTAAAAGTCCTTCCTTGATAAGAACATAACATAGCTTGGAGAATTCTCTAGAAACATGACTGTTTTCAATCCAGAAATCCTAAGAAGGCCAACTACGGTAACATGGTAAAAGCTATTCCTTCCAAACCAGAAACTGGTAGTCATTACTCAAAACAAAGTCAATTTTGAGGATTACAGTTTGTTACTGGGAAAATGCTGTATGTGAAGTCAGATCCCATGAGCTTATGCATCAATTCCAATGTATAAAACTTGGCCAGTCATTCTAACTTTTCATCTTATTTTCTCCATTTGTGAGACTAAATAGTTTCAAATGATAATTCATGAAAACACTGTTGATATAAGATGTTATTTAAGTGTCTTATATTTTAATGTTTCATGTTCTTCCTAATTCCTATTCTGAGACATCAAATTCTAATCATATGCTGCCAGAAAAGTTAGATAGGAGACAAGATTTCTGCATCTTAAACTGATACACCATTTTTCTGAAAGAGAAATTCCAGTTTTTTTAATCCTAAATTTATTCTATTATGTGAAAGAGTAAGAAAAATTGAAGTACAGAAAATGGTGTTTTCCACAGAATTTTTGTGTATCTCGTTAAGCCAGACAATTATATTTCTGATACTTACACAAGACGCACTCCACACTGCAAGTCTACAGCAAGATTTGTAACAGCAAAATCAAATTCATCAAATGGTGTCTGAACATGACTAACAGGCAATCCCAGTAAGCTAAGGTGACGGGAAAGGTCACCTTCACCACTTAGAAAATCTCGTGAAAAAGCCAGAAGAATTTCTTTACTAGCCTATAAAGAAACAGGTTGCAGGTATTATATTTCAATATTATAATATGGCCTGCAATTTAAAAAAAAAATTCTTCAAATCACATTTATAAAATTCATAGTTCTGCAAAAAGATCGCCAGTTTCATATTACACGGTAATAATGCAAATTTCATACATTTCCAAGACTTCTTTAAAAACCTGCTCACAATTAATATAATATAAAAACTAGCAGTAATTAATAATACATTACATCTAAATTAGGAAAGAAATTTCTCCCCAAATTAATTCCTTAGAATCACAGTTAAGTTCAATCTTAAGGGCAAGATGGAAGGATGATATAGTAGTGAAAAGTCAGCCAACTAAAAGCAAGTATTTTTACAATTACTGATAAGACTCACTAGATAGACGTTCACTCCTATTTTGCTCCAGAACAGTATTCTTTGGAAGACTAATTTTCTTTCTAAAGAGAAATATGCCATAAAAGCAATCAAAAGTCTCAAATGAAAACTGTACCTTGAATTCAGCATCTTTACAGAAGAGACAAGGATCATGATCAATCAGTCTTGAAATTTTAGCATGATCCAGGAAACAGACCAACAACAGTAACTTTTTCAATGTAAACTTGGACAAAGCTTCTTCATGACCTTAAAGTACAAAAAAGCATACCAAGTTATCTAGGAAAGGCAACTTGAACCTTATGATAATAATATGCTAATGGCCCGGGGATTTAGCTTAGCAGCACCACGCCTACCTTGCAAGCACAAGCTCCTGAGTTCAATTCCCAGTACCAAAAAAAAAAAAGTGTCAGTAAAAAGTAATGACATGTACAAATAAAACACCATGCCTGTTTTGAAGATTTACATGTGAGAAGCATTAAATCCTCGTAATAACTCTATGAGGCAGGTAGTATTTAATATGTCCAATTCCTGAACAAGGAATTAGACACAGCAATATCAAGAGATTTAGCTGGTCTCACTCAACAAATATTTAATGAACAGCAACTACATGCAAGCACCATCCTAGGTGCTAGATACACAGTAGCCAACTGTAACAACTATAACTCCATAGGTCTTACAACCTATTGGGAGAACTGAGTGGGTGGAGACAGCATATAAGAATAGTTATAAACAGTGATGGAGGAAAACAGGAGTGAAGGAAGGAAAGGGTAAATAGAGACCTATTTAGATTGGTTTCTTTGAGAAACTAATACGCACATACAAACAGGAAGAATAACAAGAGGCCATGTATGCATAGTGTGAAGAAAATGTAACAGAGGCAAAAATACCATCTCTGTATAGATGCGGAACACTGGGATGTCGATATTCAGATGCTATATCAGGATTCCAAAGTAAGCGATTCAGTATAAACACAGCCAACCCGGTGATATCACTACTGTCTTCCAAAGGTATGAGCTCTCCATAAACTGTCTGAAAAGAAAAGCCAAAGCTCAACTTATGCATATGCTGTCTCTAAGAAGCAAAAGGATGCGACAGAACACGGGGAGACAACAATCTTCTAAGACACTAGCTACACTCTTTTCCAAAATAGCATGGAAAAGACATGGTTATTTGGTAAATAAACTCTAAACAGTAAATACATGCTTTATGCATTTTTTGGTGTATACAGTATACTTTAGAATGAAAAAAAAAAACCTCGGGACTAAGATAAATTTTTAATCATATGACAAGCAATAGTTAATTTTAATTTTTTCCTTTATGTTAAAGTACTATCAAACACATGCATGTTTTTCAAATTTAATTATTATTGTCCCATTAAGTAGGCGCTGAAAAGTACAGCAGAAATCTATTCAAAATTTTATAATACATAACAAGTGGAAAACCATCTGTAAACGGTGGTGGTGAACCTATGGCGTGCCTATGTCACAGCAGGCTGTTTGTATAATTGAAAGCTCTAAAAGGTTCACCTTCATTAATCTAGGGTAATAATTTGGGAAGTTCAGATATCTTCATAATCAATGACAAATATAAAATTAGTTTAATGTGATTTTTAAAGCAGTTAGAAACTATTAAAAACATATCAAATTATATTCTGTAACCCTACATTGACGTAATATAGAAATGAAAGCATGAATTCCTACCAAAACAGAGAAATTTATCTTTATTTACATATTTGTTTCATCTTTGAAGTTTCCATAAAATCCTCAGAAGTTAAGTCTATTTATAGAATCCTAAAGTATGCTTCTAAGATAGAATTGTTCACAACTACTGAACCTTCCATTCCTTATAAAAGGATTTACAACCCTACCATCACCACTGACTGATCATGTCTCTTGTAGGTGGTTAATATATTCCTGCCTAGTTTGGGCTTAGCTAGATAATGTGCTTTATCCAATAGAATATGGATGCAGGTAACAAAAAGTACATCCAAGCAAAAGTTATAAAATGTACTGCAAGTTTTTACCTAATGATCTTGGTTTTTATCTTTACTACAAAATGTCGCAAATACAAGGGGCCTCCTCCCTCATTTGAGGTTCCATATTTATTTGACATGTAAAGCAGAGCCAGCTGATATGTAATTTGTTGACTAATGAAGGGTAAGAGTTGAAATAAAATTTAGCAATGACACAATCACAGTAAACTTATTAGTTATACTCTCTGATCCCCAAGTTAATGGTATAAAGAAGGTACATTATTCCAAAAATCCCTTTCAGTACCAAAGATTCTTCTATTTTAAAATTTGGAATAAACTACATCATGAAAAACACCTAGAAAAAAACATAAAAGCTTATTAATAAAAGATTAAAAGAAAAGGAAGCACAGAGGACACAATTTTATAAAAGCATACTTTTAACAGCAAACTACTAGCTTTACTAATTTAGTTTTAAATTTTGAAATACTATTCTGCCAACAAGTAGGTAACTCAAATCTAGATGACATTTTTATGACTGGTACACCATCAAAATGATAGAAAGTTATGCTTTGCCATCAGACTGGTGTATATTCAAAGCCTGCTCAGTTATTGTCCTTTGGGAAGTTATCACAAATCCAAGTTTTTGCTAATGAAGTGAAAATAATAAAACCTACCTCACTGATTTCCAAAGTGATTTAAATTAAAAATGTTTAAAATGCCCTAGTCTTTTTGTGTGTAAATATTCAAAAATGAGCATACTAGAGTTGTCATTACATCCAGCACCAAATTATGACTATTTAAATGTCTACACAGGTATATTACCCTGAAACAATATGCCAATAATATACCTAATAAGCATTGATTGAATAACCTTCATTTTATACTGAAAGATGAATCAAGTTAACCAAATGACTATAACTTTTATAAATGAAATTATTAAAGAATCTATTCTATTAAAAGTGTATCATTAAAAAGAATACTGTAAATCATTTTCAAAAACTGAAACAGATTTACCTCTAGGCCAATGCGAAGCCACAAAGGATTATATGATAACAACCAATTCAATACTTTCTGGCGTTCTCCTGAAATGCAGGTCAAAGGACAAGTTCAATCCAGAACTCTAATTAAATAGACATAATAAATAAAACCTCATGGAAAGCTGGGGACTGTAGAACATTTCTGTAATTCCACCACTCAGGTGGCAAAGGCATCACTAGTTTGAGGCCAGATGGGCTAGATTGTGACTTCAAGACCAGATCTCAAAAACAAAACAAAAACAAAAGGCACACCACAAAAATAAAACAACCTAATGAAGATAATATCAGTGAAAAAAAAAAAAAAAATCACATGTAAGAAATGTTTAAATGAAAAAATATTTCTATTCTTAAATAGACACCATCATATTTATGAGAGTTTAGGCAGCAAAACTAAAGTATGTTTGAAATACATTCTCAAATATATACACAAAGAAAACAAAATTGGCATCTGGAAGAGATAACTGCATGTTCATGTTCATTCATTATTATTCACAATACCCAAGCTATGGAGTCAATTGCAAATGTCCTTCAACAAGGGAATGGGTAAAGAAAATGTACTGGGTATGTGTGTGTGCGCGCGCACACACACACACACACACACACACACACAGAGGTAAATCTGTCAGGTGATAGATAAGTTAATTAGCTTCATTGTGGTCATCATTTCACAAGACAAGTATATATAAAAATCTTGTTGTACACCTTAAATATATACAATTTTTATCTGTCGATTATATCTCAATAAAGCAGGGTGGGTGGGGAAGCAACACAAAATCTCTAGAGTTTACTAGGGAAGCTGAGACAGGACTACTCCAAGTTTGAGGCCAGAATGAATAATATAGACCCTGCCTCAAAATAAAAATGTTTAAAAGGCGGGGCTGCAGCTCAGTGCTCTCTAGATTCATTACTCAGTAGTGGGGAAAGAAGGAAGGGAGGGAGGGAGAGAAGAAGCCCCTGAAGTGTTTTTAAAGAATTAATCTCAGTATTTCTGTAATATTCTTACCAACATCTTTCCAAAGGTGTCTATCTTTTCGTACAATTAACCGCTTAGCTTCAATTTCAATTTCAAGCTTTTTAATAGCTCTAACCATTTTTTCAGAAGTAAATAAATGGCATGCTGTGCGACGTAATTTATTCAACCTGCACCGAGCAGTATAAGCTCTGAGAGACATTTCATCTTTTGTAGGAGCTCTCAGAACACTTATTTTATGTTGATTCTCCACTCCCAAGAGAACAGTTGCAGCATTTACTGGATATAAAAAAACAAGAAGGCAAATGTTTCTGGTTAAACAATATCTCTGTACATTCTTAAATCCAGCAGTAAAATGCAAATTTTTTTTGGAGAGAGAAGCAGAAGGGAGAGGAAGAGGATGAAACAGAACTGAGATTGTTACATACGTGTACTACCTCCCCATGAGGAATGTGAGCCTCATGTACTACAAACATGTACTGATAAAAAATAAAAGTTTAAACAAAAACAGGAGGTCCAAACAGAATCTATTCCCTACTCCTTCCAAGTTTTCTCATCTCATTTTTAAATCTCAAAATATAAGTGTCACCGTTCACTAAGTACATCTGGCCAATGATCACTGCCGCCCATTGGCTCAGCTCTGCCTGCAGAATATCATACCCATCCCACTCACCCCCCCTACTTCTCACCATCACAAATACCAGCATCTCTGAGACTAAGAAAATGGTTTCTGTCTCGGTCCTCTTAATAAATGATCTAAAGAACACAATCTCTTAAAATACAAATTGAATTTTGAAATATAATTTGAACTTTTATTAACATATTTTCTTAAAAGGACAAAAATTAGGGCTTTACTTCCTTTTGAAAGAAAAAAAAAGGATCTTGGACATCATCTAATCCAAAGAGGAGTGGTGGCCCACGCCTGTAATCCCAGCACTTGGGAGGCTGAGGTGGGAGGATCACAGCAGAGTTGGAGGCCAGCCTGGGCTGCATAGTGAGGTCAAGGCCAGCCTGACCTCATTCCCAGACTCTGTCTCAAAAACACAAACAAACAAAAACATGCTTGGACCTGCAACAATCCAGAAATCACCATTAGACAATAGCCTACCTGACAGTTTCACAATTTAAATGTTCATGTTTCCTCATTTTGAACTGAAACCGATGCCTACAACTTTTGTGAAAGAGCTGCACAAAAGGTCTCCTTTCCTTTCAGACAAAAGCTTTAAATGTGTAAAAGGCACCTTGTTTCTACCTTGTCTCAAAAAAAAAAAAAAAAAAAAAAGGCACCTTGTTTCTACCTTGTCCCATACCAACATCTTCTCCACAATAAACAATGAAATGTTTTAAAAATTCCTCATATGAATTGATTTTCAATTAATCCGCCAGCTTTCCTACACACCTCTTAACTAAGGTATTTGACACTGGATTTAATACATCTCAAATGGTCTGGCCACAAGGATTGATTGCACTGGCTAAGGCAGAATGGAAAGCAGAAAGTAGACAGTAAATTTACAAAAAGTAAAAAGTAAATCTTGGTACAGAAAATCTACATAAGGAAAAATAACATGCCATTAACTACAATATAATAGAATAGGTATAATAAAATAATGACAAATATCAAAATTTTGATCTGCTAAAACAAGAGCATTATTAAATTTAAACATCAATTTAATGCTTACCTTCTGAAATATTTGTTTTTACAGTGAAGTCATCAGGAGTTAGTATAAAATTTAGCCACCAAGTGAAACCCTGTTCCTGCTTCTCTTTCCAGCGTTCATCATAAAACATGTTTTTTGCAGCAAATGGCATTGGGTGTCTAGGAATACCTAGGAATTCAATTAGGTTACTGTATAAGAAAATTTCCACTAAATTATATAATGTATATCAAAAGCCTTTTTTAATCCTAATAAAACCATCTTTAAAACATTGAATAATATTTATTTTCTACTACTTGATAGAAATCAAGCATTCTGGGTACTAGACACAATCAAAGCAAAAGGAGAAAAGCAAAGTAGTATTTCCTGGTTATTTAAATATCCCAAGCCACTATAAGTCAATTTCAGTAAAGTATGATAGAATATCTTAATTTAATTTGAATACAATTTAACAATTCTTCATGACTTTTATTCAAACAAAAAAATCAATTCATTTCCATTAGAAATGCAATTAATGTTTCACTCCATGTCACTTTCTCAGACAGCTGAAATATAAAGAACACATGCCTGTTTTTATTGGCTTTATGAAGGTCAAATTAGACTGTGCCACAGCAACAATGGATTTTGTCCTTTTGGTTGTTTTATAAGTAGGAGTTTTAAATCCTGATGAATCTAAAATAAATTAGAAAACAGAATATCATTAAAAATAAACTAAATTGCCAGGGATTTAGCTCAGTGGTTTCACCGCCTGCTATGCAAGCACAAAGACCCAAGTTCGATCTCCAGTACCAAAAAAAAAAAAAACCCGCAAAAAATAAACTAAATTTCCAAAATAGGTAATTGAATTAAACATTAAAGTTTAGGTTCTTCACGATCATACTCATTTAGCAAATACTGAAACTACTATGCTCCGAACTCAGTGATCAATAAAACCAACACTTGGAAGTTATAGTCCACACACAATAATTAATTTTTGTCCACAGAAGCTATAGTCCAGTCCAGATTCAACCACAGCTTACCGTGTCCATATATTCCAGACTCTGTGTAAGGTACAGGGAAAATGCAGAATTAAAAGCTATGGTCCCGAGTTTGATCCCCGGTACCAAAAAAAAAAAACAAAAGCTATGGTCCCAGCCCTTGGGTTGCTCTGTCTAATATGGAAGAAATTTAAAAGGGGTAGGAAAGCTTTTCTAGATGGGAATACGCTTGAGCTAATTCATTAAATGGAAATTAAGGATAAGGAATATGGCCTGTATAAATATGTGAGAAATGACAGAAGAGGTTGGAAAAGGTAGGGAAGAGTTCAAGAATATTAATAATAGTAGTGGCTAGTATTTGATTAATTATGCCAGGTGCTAGCAAAGGCTTAATAGCCTTTTACTCACACAATTATCAAAACAAATCTATGAGAAGAGTGCTATAATTATTCACAATTTATATAATTAGGATACTGGAGCTTAGAGCAATTAAGCCACTTGTGGCAAGGTGACACGAGCTAGTAAGTAGCAGGGATTTAATTGTGGGCAATATAGTTCCTGAGTTTGCACTATTAGTCGCTTTGAAGCACCTACTATGACAGTAAAGAATTTTAATTCAGCTTTTTAAAATTCATTTATATTTTAGAAAACAGTATGGACAGTAGAATGTCAAGAATAAACACAACATTATAAGGCAAACATTATAGCAATCAAAGTTAGATATGAGACAAATTAAAAGTCAATAGTCAAATTAGAAAATTATTTTAATAATGGAAGCAATAAGCCTTAAGATCAACTAACTAGAAAAGTGATAGAGAATGAAAACAGGCTGAATATATATATATATATATGTTTGTCTCAGACACATATGTCACAACAGCATATACTACTATTAAATATAAACAAAGAGCTAATTAGAGCAAGGGTCAGCAAAGTACAGGCTATGAAATCCAGTACACTATTTTTGCACGGTCCATGATCCAATAGTTTTTATTTGTAAATTGTAAGAAAAACACCAGAAGAATAAAAGCTGGGAGTGGAGGCCACATGTCTGTAACCCCAGCAATTTGGGAGGTTGAGGCAAGATGACAGTTTCTAGGCCAACCTGGATAACTCAGCAAAGTCTTGTCTCAAAATAAAACATAAAAGGGCTGGGATGTAGCTTAGCACCACACTGCTTGTATATCATGTGTGAGGGCCTGGATTCAATCCCCAGTACTACAAAAATAAAAGAAAAATAACAATAGCTGATGACAAAAACTGTATGAAATTCAAATTTCAGGACCCATAAATAAAAATCTGTGGAACATGGCCACTCATTGATTCATATATTGTCAATATCAGAGTTGAGTAGCTGTGACAGAGATATGGCCTACAAAGCCTGAACTGTTTATTATCTGAACTTTAGAAAAAAAGGTTGCTTACCCTTGTGATAGAGGAATCTCTAATCTACACCCATTATGAAAATAAGGAACATGATCAAACCTCAACACAATATAAGTTTATGCTTTTATTTGAACATTTACAACATAAATGTCTGGGGAGACAGACTTCAAAAGTCACTCCCTCTGCCTGGAACTGTTTTATTCATTAGGAAGCCTTGCCATACACAGAAAGCCTCCTCTCTGTGCTTGCATAATGCCCTGGGCATAGCTTAAGCACAGCACCAGAACAACTGGAGGCTAGGAATTATATCTATTTTCCCTGAGCCCATGAAGTCTAGAACAATGCATAGCATATCATAGGCACTTAAAATAATAACAATAATAAGTGTTGTCTTGTTTCTGTGTTCTAATTTGTCAGAAGAGAATCTAGCACTACTTAACGCATTACCGGCCTCTGATATAGCCTCATGAATCAGATACCCAATGAGTACAATTCTAACTAAATCAGAGGCTCACCAAGTGGCTGCCTCAAATAAGCAGTAGGTTTGCGTGTCAAAATTTCAATGGTTACTTATTAACTGAATCACTCATTCATTCTAGGCATCATTTATTATATACCTTGCAGGAGATCAAAATAGGTATGTTCCTATAATCAAAGAATTTATTTGATCAAAACATATGTACAGAACCAGTAAAGAAATAGTTAGGCTGGGGATTTAGCTCAGTGGTTCCGCTGCCTGCCTCAAAAGCTCAAGGTCCTGAGTTCGATCCCCAGTACCAAAAAAAAAAAAAAGAGAGAGAGTTAATATAAGCTCTATTTATATTTGCTATGGGGATATAATTAGTGGGAAATTCATTAGGGAACAGAAGTAGCAAAAGCTGATTACAGTACATGAAATAAGTGAAGAACTTGAATTAATGAGAACACAGCACATGCGAATGTTAGTAAGAAGATTCGTAGTAGGGCAAGAAGACTAGCGTGGCTAGAATGTTGAAGAATAAAAAGACAGCTGGATAGATACATAGATCACATAATGGACCACTTTCAGTGATTGAATAAGGAGTGTAAATAGTCTGATAACACCACAGAGCCACTGAGCAGAGGAGTAGTAACACATGTTGGACACCATCAGTTCCTCTGACTGCACTGGCAGAGCAAGACTTTGACACCAGTGGATACCATCACTGGAAATCCTTGGTCATTTCCCCAAATAAAAATCTCATTTAGCTTTTCTCTTACTTATATCTCCAAAGTGTAGCAAGACAGGTTGGAAAGAAAATCTACTTGTAGCTAGGTAAATCTGAGTTTAAACTACAGCTATAAGTACCTAACACTTTGTATGCAAATTACTGTTTTTGAACTTGTTTTTGAAGTGGAGAAGGAAGTTGTTATTGCTTTTATCTGGATGTCCCCACAAAGCCTCAAGTACTCATAGGTGGGGCTTTTTGGAAGTGATTAGATTTAGGGTGTGTGAATGTGGATTAAGGGTGTGACAATTGGATTAGTCCAAAGATTTGTTCTGGGTATGATAGCAAGTTCCACCCTGAGCATGGGTGGCACCAACCAACAGGCCTGTAGCATGGATGGAATGTAAAGAGAAAGATGCAAGGCATACGTGCTGCTTCACTGCTTTGTGCCTGCCATGCCATGAACTGTTTCTCCTCTGCCATGGAGTCAGTGACAGTGGACTACAGTTTCTATAAACTGTGAGCTAAAATAAACCTTTCCTCTTTTAACTTTGGGTGTTAGGCATTGTATCTCAGCAATGAGAGAGTAACTAAGACAAAAGTCATTCTACATACAGGAAACAAGAAGTTCCCATTCCCCAAGGACAGAACATGTTTGAGGTCTTAAGGATCACAAGGAAGCCAATTGGGTAGAAGCAGAGCAAGGGAGAGAGAAAAGGAAGAGTGAGGTTGGAAGGTACATGGGTAGTTACAAAGCTTTACACAGGCTTGTAAACCACTGTAGGAATTACGGCTTTCAGCGCGGTAGGAAGCCATCAGATGGTATAGAGTGAAGAGTCCAAGGCTCCAGTATTTTAAATGTAGCTACACAGAAAACAGACCAAAGAAGGAAAGAGTGAAAGCAAGAAGATCCATTTGCACATGCTGCCATGACACAGAAGAACTCAGATGGTGCCCATGAAAGTGGTGAGAATTGCTAAAATTGTGAAAAAAACAGTAAAACCTTGGATTGTAACTTGTTCTGAGTGTTCTGCAATAATATGAGCAAATATTGCTAATAAATTTAAACTTGATAAACAAGCTATGTCTTGACTACGAATAGTATGTGATGTTGAATGTCACATGATCACAACTGAACCAACGGTTCCCCACCACCACCACCACTACGGGATTGTGGGTAATTGTTTCCCACCAGCAAGAATTTATGGAGATGTCATCTACAGAGGAAGAGAAAAAGGCAGAGAGATGTGTAAAATGTGGGAAACAGTGCAAATTTTTGTAGAAAAGCACTACCTGAATAAGGCCTTAGCAGTGTGAGCTAAGAATCTGTTTAATGACAATGCAATGCCACATTTCTGTGAAGTTCTCAAACGGAGGCAAAAGCAAGTATCAATGAATAAGCTCCTTGTTAAAGTTGCACTGTCAGAAAAAGATTCCGTTGAGCCAATAGCAGTGATTACATTAGTGATAGTGGAAATCATTCTACACAATAACCCTCCTCTCTCTTGTGTCCCTCAAATCAGTCATGGAGGTTTTCAAAGCTAAGTGCAGGTTAATTTATTTTTCTTTATATTTTGTATTTTCTTTAATATTTTTATAATATTCTAGTATTGGAATCATTTTTATATGAATATTTTTGGGTTGTGAAATGAATCATCTGAATTTCCATTATTTCTAATGGGGAAATTTGCCACAAGCATGTTTCTAGAATGAATTATGCTGGCAAAACAAGGTATATTATATGGAAAAAAAGATTTGTTGGTGGACTGAGTTTGGAATCAGATGTGTTCAAATGTATAGAGAAAACCACAATTAAGGACAGTTTCAAGGCTTTTGGCCTGAGTAACATCAAAGTATCATTTACATACTGATATTAGAGATAAAAATAGGATGTTTTGGGATAGTTAGCGAGGATGTGGCTTTATATGAATAAAGAGGATCATTTCAGAGTCAAGTAGGAATATAATATGTTGGATATATATCAGTCTACAAATTAGAGGTCAATCCTGAAGAAATATATTTGGGACCAAAGTATACACATACAGATAATATTCTAAGGTAGAACACAGGATGAGGTTGTTGAATGAGTAAAAATATGAAAAATGTAACTAAGTCAGTAACTAAACCTTCATGTAGTCCATAGTTTAGAGATAATTAGGTGGGAACACTGAGAGGGAACAGCCAGTGAAGAGGGAAGAGAACCAGCAGGAGATTGGGGATGGCAAAATAGGTACAGGTTTAATACCAGGGAAGGAAAAATGTTTTTCCAAAGTAATGAGGATTCTAGGAACCTATCTTCATTTTTAACTAGTAGCTGGGCGGAAGCTGACAGTGAAAAATGTCACCAGGAGCATAGGGCATGTTAAAGGCAATTCTTTTGTTGGTATTATGGGTGCCAGGCATCTCACTGGGCCTTCCAAGCAAGGCATAGACTAAGATGAAGCAAGTGAAGTACTTTTTTTGGGTGGAAAATTTAAGAACTGTACCCAAAAAGTCAGTAATTGAGATATTTGAATGCAGTATTTTTTAGAAATAAAAATTAATGAAAATATGGAAAGCTTAAATAAAGTATCACAACTATTTCAGAATTTAGCTCATTACATTTGCCTTCCCGTCCACTAAGCAAGATGATAAATGAAGAGTATAAATTACTAAGAGTTTATCAATAGATTTACCAAGCTAAAAGAAATATTTTCTAAACTCAAACATGTCCTTTATAAAGCATGTTTCACTACTCCTATTAGAGGTGTTACACTTTTACTAAAGATTTTATAAACAAGACTCACCAGTTCTCTTCTTCAAGCTTAATTTCTCCCTGCTATTAATACATTTTGAAATGGGTGTTGTCATCTTTTTTGTTCTAATAGTTGACAAATTAGATTCTGGGGGAGAAAAATGGATTCTCTTGACTTTATGTACTTCTGTATGTTCTGTAACAGCCTTCACATTTCCATCTTCCATGTTTCTGTCACTCTTTCTTTTACGAGCAACTAAAGATGTTGAAGGAGTTGTTCCACTTTTGTAATTCTGAGGTGTAGTTAATATTGGATCTATAATTGGAAGATAAGAACGAAAAGCTTTTTCCTTTTGGTTATCTATTACTTTTTCACATTCACCTACTGTACTGTTGAGACATCTTTTTGCTTTCGATTTATTAATCTCAGTTTGTTTTTCTCCAGCATAGGCTGGCTTCCTTTTAGTAACAGTGGCAGAAAGAATTGGGCGTCTCTTAGGTTGTTCCCCTGCAGAAAATTTAGGATGGCTTTGTTTTGTAAAAAGGTAATCTGACTTCATTGCTTCAGGGTTTAGTTCTTCAGGAATAACTCCAGAGGTTTTTGAACCTTGACATTCAGGAACACATGGAAAAACTTCACTTTTTCTCCGATCTTGTGGAAACTGAGAATTTTCATTTGATAATGGTGAATCTTTACAAGTTTCCTGAGCTATACTTATATGTGGCATGTTATCTTTTACAAACTGACTTGGAGATAAAATGGGATTAACTGACTCTGACTCTAGATTCTGCTTTAATCCATAATTACCATTTACGAAAGAATCTGGACTTAAAACTGTTTGATAAACTTCATGTACAGTTTCGGATTCCAAATGAACAGACTTCAAATTGTCTTTTGCAAGAGTATCTGATAACAGACATGTCATTAACCCTACATCATTAGATGCAGGGGTGTTATTTACAAAAGAATATGGATTCAGAAAATTTCTTTGGGTCTGTATAATGTTTAAAGGTGAAGAACAGCTTGGGGTAAGGATGATATTAGTATTCACTTCGCTTTCGCCACTAGTATTTATGGAATTAAAGGAAGTTTCTGTTATGACTTTCTCATCAAAATTAAAATCTTTTGAAATGATGGCACCTTCTACTTGTATTTGTTCCCCATTTTCAGATGCATGAAGAGATGAGTAGGTAGTAGAACGACGTACAGAAAATGGCAAGCAAGTTTCAACATGGCATTCTTTGAAGGCAGGGCGAATAGGCGAAATGGGTATTTTATTTTCTTCAAGGGTTAAAGAACTGTTTTCTGTTGGAGCACAACCTTCACTCATAGCCAAATTTTCACAGGCTTGTAGTGGGCTCCTAACTCTGTCAACTTTTAGGGAAACACTAAATGTTTTATTAATATTTTGAGTATTTGAGATCTTCTTGTTATGAGTTGATGAGGCCGAAACTGTCTTATTAACGGTAGCCCAGAGACTTTTCTATAAAAATAAACAAAATATACCAATAAATTTAAAGCTACTGGGTATTACTTTTAAATAAGCAATATTATACATGCTGTTTCAAGCTTGTGATCAAAATGAGTTTTACAAACATTTGAACATTTTCTTAAGGTAAATCATCGAATGATAAAACAATTACCTTTTTCTTTTTCCGCTCTTCTGCATTTCCTAGTAATATAGCCTGATGTTTCACGACATTATTTACAAGAAATGTCACAGTCTCTCTTACTCGGCCTTCTTTCAATGGTGTCCAGTTAACAGAGATGACAATTTTTTCTTTAGGCTATTGTCAAAAGAATGCACTTCAAATGATTATCAAAGTAATAATTATATAATAACCAAAATATATACAACTTAGAATATAGTAAAGGACTAATAATTGTTACAATACTTCATATCCTTAATAGCATTTAATAAGTCAAATATTACCCTATCTGCTCATTTCATTATAAAGAAAAAAAGGCATCACCAATAACAGGGCTAACAATAAAATAAAATTATAATAAAATCTGTTCATATGAAAGCCATGGAACAGATAGCCTCCCAAGCATTTTGATTCATTTAAAAAATTTAACTGTATATGTCTGCTTCTTTATTATGTATAGTACTTCTATTCCAAATATAATGGCCCCACATTATAAAGACTTTATGCAGGGCCCAGAGCACTCAGTGGCACTGCGCCTGTCTGGCAAGCACAAGGTCCTGAGTTCAATTCCCAGTATGAAAAAAAAAAAAAAGAAATAAAGACTTTATGCAAAAAAAAAAAAAAATGAAGATGATGAGCTAAACCTCTCTTCTGCACAGACCCTGCAATCCACATCATAACACTCTTCTCTGTTAAACAACTATTCTGTTCCAAGCAGGTGCAGGTATATCACGTAACTTATTTAATGCTCACATTCCTAGGAAGCAGGTACTGCTTATGCACATTTTACAGATAAAGCCACCAACATCCAGAAGCATAGCCAAAGTCATGAAGCTAGTGCGTAATTAGAACCTAGGCAGTCTGACTCCAGAGTGCAGACTCTGGCAGGTAAAATTTGCCAAATGGAGAACCCTGAGATGACAAAACAAACTCTTTTGTTCCTCCGGGAAAAGGACAAGTTTATATTTGAAAGGAGGAACTATATAACATCATAAGCAGCTATTTTAAACAATAAGAACAGTGAAATTTTTACTCTACAAAACAGAATTTATATTAAACACAGTAACAATGAACTTTACTTCTACATTACAAAAAAGAACAAGTAAAAGTAATATGTAGATAGAAATCTGTCTTTCCATATAAAGCAAAGCAAGCAATTAGTAATTTCATAAAACAAGACAGGCAGGCAGCTTCTGAGTGTGAATGAACCACTCACTAGTGACACAGAGCTCACAGGCTTCAGTCTCTAAGCCCTCATGAGGTTCTATTTCCTCAGTCAAGGGTTTGCAAACTGCACTTTCAGAAGTTCTACTCGATGTAAAGCCCAAAGTAGTCAAAATATGAACAAAATTATCTGGGTTTTGGTGATGGTGATGGGAATGGGATTATTACTTTGGCTGTAATACCTATAGGGAAGTTCTTGAAACAGTGTTTGTAAAATTAAACTTGATGCACCATTAAAACTATATTGACAGAGTATGGGTTCAATGTGCATCCATTTAGCTATAAATGTCTCTAGTTTATCATTCTTTATGGCTGAGTAGTACTCACTTTTGTTTAAAAAAAAAACACATCTTCTTTATCCAATCACCAGTTGATGGGCACTTGGGCTGTTTCCAAGATTTAGCTATTATAAACTGTGCCGCTATAAACATGGGAGTGCATATATTGTTGTAGAATAGTTTCTCTGGTGTGAGAAACTGAAAGTGTAAATAAGGACTAAAAGGTATAACAGATAATGTGAAATAGGAAGAAAAGGGGCATAGGAAAGGGGTAAGTGGGAGGGGTAGAAGAAAGGAAAGAAGGGAAAGGAAAAAATAGGAGAAAAGGAAAAAACGGAAACAAAGTCTTTGTAAATAGGGAGGGATGGAGGAGTTGAAGGGAAGGCAGGGGAATGGGGAAAAATTGGAACCAAGATACATCATGTACAGGTACAAGTTCCCAATGATAAATGTAAATGTATTGTATACCTAAAATGTACCAAATAAACTTAATGAATAAAAAACACTATACTGACAGAAAAGGAATGATTAAAATATAAAATACACCACAGATACACATTGGGACATTGATGAACTTCTTTGGAGGAGTTCTTTTGCTGCAGATTTTAGCCAAAACAAAATTCAGTATTTCACCAGAAGTAGTCTAAAATGACTGATAGGAGGCGATAATTTTTAAAAACGTCAATCCATGTTCTCCTGACAACCTTTCAAACTAGAATGCCAAAGTGCCATCTATGAGTTTAAAAGAGCACAAGAATTTGGCACCACCTGAATTCACTATTAAGAACGCTGGTCGATGTAAGTCTGGAGCGAGGTGTGTTAATTTTGAACAGCAAAGGGGCGCGCTCGCCGATGCTAGGTGAGCGCCCAGCCCAGCTCAGCCCAGCCCAGCCCAGCCCAGCCCAGCCCAGCCCAGCCCAGCCTCGCGCCCCGCGGAGAGCGTGAGTCCCATCCGCAGTCACGGACCCGAGGGAAGCCGCCTCAATCCCCAGGATGTCCGGCACCCCGCCCGGACCTACCTGCAGCACGCAGCGGCGCGGACACACGCTGAAGCCCAACTCCGCCGCCCGCAGGTGGGCGACCTCCACCTCCGCCACCTCCGCGTTGGGGTTGTGCAGGACCAGGGGCAGCGTGCGCGAGACTCCCAGGCGAACATCCCCGAAGCTGAGGAAGGGAGACCTGCAGAAGTGGCTGAGAGACAGCACCGCCGGGGACGCCGGCTCCTCCGCGGCCTCCCACTCGGCCCGCGGCCGTCGCTCGGCTGGGCTCAGCTCCCAGCAGCTCCGCCCCGCGCGCCCGGTCGCCATGGCCGCCGAGGCCGCCGGCCTCCTCCCCCGGCTCCCACCGGCTGCTGCGCAGAGCCGGGGCCCCCACTTCACGCGGGCCGCTTCCCCTCAGACGCTGCTGGGGAGCCGTGGGAGTGCAGAAGCCCCTTCCCTTCTCCGGGCCGACACCCCAAGAACTCGCCGCCCCAAGGAGGCACAAAACTACCACAGCCTTTCTGCCTCAGTTTAAACTTCTCGTACCCACCAATGGGCACCTTCGGGAACCGCCCCCGTCCTCAGAAGACCAATCAGTAAGCAAAACTTCCTGGCCAATGAGAAGGCAGCGCCTTGTTTAAATGATTGCACAGCTGCGCCTTAAAGGCTGCTGGGCGGCTGCCTGCTCTGTGCGGGAGAGGAGGGATTGCGCGATCTGGACCTTGCTGATTCTCCCAAGTCTTAGGCTTAGAATTGAAATTGCCTTTAAATTCTATAAACAGGTTAGGATGAAAGGAAGACAGTAACAGCATTTCTACAGTAAATGTAGTAATATTGCAGTTGCCCAGGTAAAGTTTAAGTAGGAAAAAAAAAAGATTTGCTTCACTCTTTGGATCTGAAAGGCCCCGCCCAGAACTATATTAATCAGTTTAACTCTCTTTTCCTGGGCCGAATGGGAGACATGGAAAGAAAATTAAATAGTTTATGCGAAGATGCTTATTTAATGACAAGGGCACAGTATATTTACATGCTGTCTCTTACCTCAGGAAGCAAAACTAGATGAATAAAACCCGAGATTCACAATAATTCGTAAAAGATCTTTTTGATAGACAATGTCTTTGACATAGAACTTTTTGAGTTTTATGAGTGTCCAATAATGATTGTAACTTACATATTATTATATGTCAGGGATTGTTTTAAACCCTTTATATATTTATCTCAACCTGCAATCTTCTAAGGCATCTCATAGGACATAAGTACCGTTACTTGTACTTTACAGATAAGGAATATAAGGCACATACCTAACTAGGACATGGCCAAGCCAGGATATGTATACAGGCATTGTAGCCCTGGACTTGCTCTTAACCACTACAAATACTACCTCCAAAGTCAGAAGAACTTTTAAAAAATAATAACTATAGATGTATTTACGGCTACACAAAATATATATACATAGAAAAGTCTGAGAGGAAAAACAAAATGAGGAAGATGAGAAAATTATATTCAGTGACATTCAATTTGACCTATTTTTTGGTCCTTCGGGACCGATAGACAATAAGAACACTACTACATAGTTTTATTTTTATTAAAAATGTTTTTATGAATTACAATTTTGAAATATACTTAATTTATATTTTTCTTCTTACTGTGAATGGTTTTATTACCATTTCAAATAAATTCTCTTTAAGACACCTGAATGTTTGTTTTAACTCTTAATGTGTTAAAAGAACAATTTTTTCATATTTGCTCTTACTCTTCAGGGTTTTTTTCACAAAGTAATATTGGCTTACATGTTTAAAAAATCCGAATAAACAGTACTGTATATTTTTCACTTCAGAAGGAGGTCACTAAGTGTTTAAATTACTTTCTCATGGCTGAGACACGATACCCAACACTCATAAATCTAAGAAAGAAAGGTTTGATTTGGTTCAGTTCATAGAGGTTTCAGTCCATAGTTGGCTGGCTCCAAGGCAGGGTGGCGTGGCAGAGGGGCCTGGTGAGGAGTGTTGCTTGTGAATGGCAGAGAGGAAGCAAAGAAAGAGATCCTCAGCAACATGGACTTCACTCACCATGGCTGGCCTGGCTGTAGCTACTGCTGCATGCCCACTATACCAGCAGCAGAGACCAACCCTGAGTCTCCAGTACTGCACCATTCCCTGGGAGGCCATCAGCCTGTGACCTGATGGCAGATTGATTATATCAGACTGCTTCCATAATAGAAATTACAGCACTTTGTCCTTTGTGGTATAGGTGCAGATTTGCCTTCCCTGCAAATAATGCTCTTGCTAAAACAACCATCCATTAACTTATAGAATGCCCTATTCACTGTCAGAGTATTCCACAAAGCATTGCTTCTCACCAATGAACATATTTCACAGACAGAGAAGTGAGGCACTGGGCTCATGCTCATGGAATTCACTTGTCTTACATAATCCTCACCATCCAGAAGCAGCTGGATTGACAGAAAGGTAGAATGGCCTTTTGAAGACATAGTTACACCACCAGCTAGGTGACAATACCTTGCAGAGCCAAGGCAAGTTTCTCCAGAAGGCTGGGTATGCACTGAATCAGCACCTACTATAAGGTACTCTGTCTCCCACAGCCAGAATTCACAGGTCCAGGAATCAAGGGGAATCGTATCACTCATCATTATCCCTAGTGACACACTACCAAAGTTTTTGCTTTTGTTCCCTTGAACTTTATGCTTTGCTGGCCTGTATGTCTTAATTTCAGGGGGCTTCAGGCTTGTACCAAGAAGCACAACAATGATTTTGTTGAACTGGAAGCTAAGACTTCCTCCTGGTCATTTTGGGCTCCTCATACCTCTGAGTAAACAAGTTAAAAAGGGAGTTATGGGTGTTGGCAGGGGTGATTGAGTCAGGCTACCAAGGAGAAATTGTACCATTACACCACAATGGAGAAAAGGAAGAATATATCTGAAGATCACTTAGGGTGCCTCCTAGTATTACCATGCCCTGCTATTAAGGTCAGTGGGAAACTACAGCAACCCAATCCAGTCAGGATGACAAATGGCCCAGAACCTCGAGGCTCACCCTGCCAGGGATAGAATCAAGACCTGCTAATGTGCTTCCTGAAGGACAAGGGGATATAGACTGGGTAGTAAAAGAAGTTAGGTATAAATACCAACTATGACCATGCGACCAGTTACTTAAGAACCAATATTAAGAAGCAAAAGGGAAAACTTCCTTCTTTCCCTTTTTATTCCATCCAGGCTACCAATCTATTGGTCTGCACCACCCACATCCAGTGTGGGTCTTCCCTCCTCAGTGTGCATGATTCTAAGTCAATCATGAAGACATACCCACAACTGTGCTTTGCTAATCCACTAGGTATTCCTTAATCCATTCAAGTTAATGCCACAATCAACTATCACACTAAGGAAGAAGAAGGAGGGGACATTGCTTCTCTCTCCTAACTGCTCTCCCATGAGCACTTGGCTGGCTTTCTCAATATTAAAAAACACACAAAGCTGCAGAGATGCCCTATCCAAGTGGGACTCTTCTCTCACCCTTTCAAAACTGATTAGAATATCATGTTGTTACTAGTTCTTAGCTATTGTATTACGGTTCCTTACACCTGGTCATCTTTGCAAATAGTCCCTTTCTGGAAATGTCCTTGTATTATACTAAAGTAGAACAACTAATGTTGTTGTAACAATGTTGTGACCTTGATGGGTACAACAGTGGTCTTAGGGAATTGTCTTTTAATATAGAATTATAAAATTAGATAATATTTGAAGGTCACAGACATAAATGCTTGCTAGGGAGATATAGATCATGCTGATCTGAGTCACATGGTGGCATCATGATTACTCATATTATTGCTAGTGGTAGCATAAGATGAAGTGTACATGGAAGGAAATTCATTCGGAGATCAAGTGACTGAGAAACCTAGTTGCTATGCTAACACTTTATAAATGATGATAAACATTATAGTGTTATTTGGTTTTGACTGGTCACCCTGGACAGCATATATAGGGGGAAAGAAAATGAAAATCTATGATGTATACAACTAAGAACAAAGGAATCTATGAATATCTGAAGAAGTCCCTTACTTTCTGCAGTGTTAGGAAGACATGACCAAGGATTAAACCAGAATGTCTGGTAGTAACCCCACAAGTCAGATAGTAAATATACCAGTGCTATTTAAATGCTCAGCTCTGATAGCTCCTTTGAAGGTAAGAGTCAGGGGAAAGAAGTGTGAACCTGAGAGTAGATATGGTGACTGCTATAGTTTGGATCTGGAATATTCTCCTAAGGTTCCTGTGGGAAAGTCTGTGTCCCCAGTGTTGGGCTCTTGAGAGGCTGTGGAACACTAAGAGGTGGAGCCTTATGAGAAGTCTTCAGGTCACAAGAGCCTTTGAAGGGGACTGTGGGATCCAAGCCCTTTTCCCTTCCTCTCATTTGCTCCCTGTCCATGAGGTAAGTGGTTTTGTGTCACCACTCACTCTTGTTATGATGTGTGACTACAGGCCCAAAGTAACAGGGCTAACCAACTGTGGACTGGAACTTCTAAAGGTGAGCGAAAACAAACCTCTTCTCTTTGTAAACTATCTCTGGTATCTTATTATAGTAACAGAAAGCTAACAGTGGCATTTGTACAAAATTGAAAAGGCTGAGAACTATAATCTTCCATATTTTTATAAACTTCCTTTGTAGGCAGGCAGCCCCTTTCACCCCAAACCAATTTGAGGGGTTCTGTAGTTGTTAAGAATGGCATCTGGAGAAAGGAGCACAAGTCATTGCCATTTCTCCTTAGCATCCATTCACTTCATGATCCTTTCATTAGCTCAGGCTCTGAAAACTAAATTCTAGACAGAGAGGAAAGGGCAAGATGTCATGCTGAGTGGATAACTTATACTGTAGGCCAAAAGAGTTCTGAGGCTCTGAGAGTCTAAAGTGGATTGTAAGTGTGTTAGATCTAGGGGATAAGAATGCCAAATGTACTACTATGAGTGCCTTTTAGCTACTTAATACATTAGATAAATGATTTTAATGGGAAAGGATTTAATAGTCTACTAGGTTCACTAATTGAAAGTTGATAGTGGCATATAGTCAGGTCAAAATGCTGGAATATACCCAGTATTCTGAAAAGGGCCTAAGAACTCATGAAGATGGGAATGTCTGAGAACATCTACACATTGAACCTACTTGGTCAAGCCGCCTTTAAACATCCATAATCCCACCCCTAATCCTCTATTTAAAAAGCTGTTAAGAAATGCGTTTATGAGGAGGAAACTGAAATCTTTGAAAATACAGGTGATTATTGTTCTTTATGTGCAGGGAATAATGACAAGACACTCTAATGAAGATAGCTCTCTGGTCCCCAAGCGAATGACAGGACCCATAAATAGTCAAGCCCTGTTAGCACTGAGACAAGATGGTAAAGCTCTTACCACTATATGCCAAGCTCTGAATAGTAGAGGAATGGATTTGTGGCTGTGTGGTCAGGGTTCCCAAGATGGCCAAACTTAGGCTTTTCTAGGCCTTCTGCTTGCTACATATGTTATAAAACCCAAACATTCACAGTAAATTTGTAAACAAGTCATCTGTGTTATATAATTTTTTGGCAAATTGCCAGCCTCCTGTGATACTGTATATGAGGTTGTGAAAGTTTTCAGCATCACTCATCATACTGCTAAGATAGTAAAGACATGTCAGAAAAAACCCACATCTCCACATCTTTTCTTCGGACTGCTGGAATTGCAAGTGACATTCCTGGCCTTGGCCAGTGGCAGAGACTGGCAATAACTAATTGGTCAAAGATCATTGAAACTAAGACAGGCAGTGTACTATGGTGCTGCTTGATGTATGTAAGCAGAAAAATACTCATCTGCAAGGAGAAACTTAAGTGCAGTCAGTGAATCACAGCCTCCTGCCCAGCTCCTAGACTTAAACCACTTCAGGACCAAGGCTTGTTGATTAAGGAAGTTACTCCCATGACAGAGGTCACTGCAACCTTAATACAAGTATCTAAAATAAATCTTCTCCTAAATTTTCTGTAGTGTGAACTACAGTCATTCACAAATGTGAAAGTGGATTGAGGAGAAAGGAATAACCAGGCACACCAGAGGTTGCTAGGTAATATATCTGCCTTTTGACACTTCAGAAACTAAAACGTCACCCTGGAACACAGGTTATAATAGGAGCTGTCAGAGATCAGAGGACAGAAGCATCTAAGGCGGAATCTGTCTCAGGGAGTGTCCGCTGGACCCACCAACCTGAAGAATACAAAATGGGAATAACTTACTGACCACATTTTCACCCTGGCTCCCAGAAAGAGTCAAGTGGAAGGCCCTTCCCCTCTAAGTCAGAGGTTATTCTGAATGTTGCTTGATCTGGGAAAGTGATTACATGAATATACCCACTTAGCTTGCTACTTCAGCAAGTATAAAAGCCAGATAGGTCCTGGAGACTGACAGATTATACCGATTAGGTGATTACAACAACCACTGAAAGTTTCTGATGTGTTATCTTCATAAACAAATGAATACACTTTTGCCAGCTGATAAGTAGCTATTGACTGGGCAAATGATTTCTTTCCTTAATTTTCTCCATTCATCCAGTACATTGTGAGGCCAAGTCAAATCTGCCTATATTGTCTCCTGCTGTAGTATTTTCTAGAGAAACATGTATCTGTGTGTGTGTGTGTGTGTGTGTGTGTGTGTTTGTGCTGGGAATCAAACCTCAAACCTCACACATATTATTAGGCAAGTACTCTACCACCAATCCATATCCCCAGGCCTTGAATCCTCTTGGTAGTTCTTAAAATGTCACACTGGTCCTTTATGCTAATAACATTTGCTCATTAAACTTGGTGAACAAGAAGTAGCTGTTGAGAACAGTAAAGGTCTGAGATATTTTTTCCATTTGCAAGCTAGTTTCATAAATGCTGCCTTGATTAGTCACAGAAAAATCAGGAGCTGGGCTAACAGCATGTTCATTCCCATGGATCTCTGTCTCCAAGTCTCATGGGGGCAAGACAAAGGGCCTGTCATGAATGCCACACAAATGGTGGACGGCATTACAGGAAAGGGACATGGAGCTGGAGATTGGACTGCTCTTAGAGCACTATGCCCGGGCAAGTTTAGAACACATTATGCTTGATAATAGCTCTCTGAAAAGATCCCGAAAAATGGTTTGGGTAGAGTCAAGGCTTTGAATTCTTCCCAAAACCAGCAAGAATGTGGAGGACTATTCAGGGCCCATGGTGAGTTGTGTCTCTCAAAAGCAGCAAGCACCCTAGATGCCAGGAATAAAACAAATATAAGCCAGATGGCAAGCAATAAACTGTGACAAGGTTCTGCAATATCAGTAACATTTTTAGGGATGCAATGATCTCAAAAATTCCCTCTAAAGAAAGAAGCAGCTGCTGTACTGTCTGACATAGGGATGAGCTCTTTAGATTTTGAAGGCAATTATTAGTGTACATCTCACCAATCTGTTTATTTGGTAAGCTATCAGGCTAATTTTTTGATTGGGGCCCAGATCTGGCGAAGCCCCTAGAGCAGGTCCACGTCACGTATGTAGCTCTGCTCCTTGTGCCATATGGTATAAGAGGCTTTCATCTCCAAGACAATCAGATCTAGATTTGCTCTGGAAAGTCTTCATATAAGTCAAAGTGCATGAAATTCTAGGTTTGAGAATAAGGATATGTTTTTCTCTGTGGACAAGTATTTGTCATTTGAAAAGCAGGTCCTAGTTTTTCTACTAGGTTATGGTAGATTCTAAATGTTTAATCATAGGAAGACAAGTGGCTGGCTATGTGATCCAAACTGCCAATTGCCAACCATATTACCTAAGCCAGGATCAGCTAAGTATGCCCTGAGGGTTAAATCTGGTCCATTAACTTTTTTTTGTAAATAGTTTTATTGGCATACAGCTATGTCAATTCACTTACTACAATGGCAGAATATTTGTGACAGAAATCATATTGCCTGCATGACCTAAAATACGTACTCTCTGGCTCTTTACAAAGAAGTTTGCTGACCTGGGATCTAAAGGACCATAAAACTGGATTTAACAAGCAACATCCCATTATCAAACAGAAGGGGCACATAGAAGTCCTAGGCTAAGCAGATCCTAAATATACAAACAAAAACAAGCAATTCAGATTCCTATATACTGTATTTTCTCCTACTACTTTGTTGTCTTGCTCTCAAACTGTACCAAGGGGAAGCTGGAGATTTCATGATTTCACAAAGGAACTGAAAGTCTTGGTTTTGTATAGATCTGTATGACTGGTCAGATGTAAACAGAATTGTATTATAGCTTCCCCTTAGAGATGGGTAGAAAACACTCTAGTGAGGATTTTAGACAGCGTATCTGGTAATTCAGTTCCTAAGAAAGACACTGACTAAGGTAAAGTTCTATGCTGATTCACAGGCAATAGCTAACAGGCTAGCCAACTGCGCTTTTGAAGAATCATAATGGAAATCAGTGACAGGATGGTCTGAGGAGGAGAGAAATGCAAAATGGCTTGTTAAAATAGGTTCAGGAAATTAAAATTTCACCTCATGTAAATGTCTACCAGAGAACATCCATGGAAGCTCAACAATCAAGTAAAGAAGACAAGCTGTCCTATGGAATTCATGTACTTGTTCAGAGCCCATTTGACTTAGCAATGGCAGCAGGGATGAGGTTAAGATTGGGCTCAAACATGGTCTCCCCTTACCAAAGCTGATCTAACTCACCACAGCTAAGTGCCCAAACTGCTGATGGAAGGCAGTGATAAATTCTCAGTACAAACCTACTAATTCTCCAATGAGACCTGCTTACCTGTGATATGTTGTTACATTAAAGCTTTTCTCTTCATGCCAGAAACAGTATTTTGCCTGTCTTGGATAAAAGCATCTTCTGAGTATAGACTGTGGTGCCTAACCTCATTATCCATGGATTTATCGGAAGCTCTATCTATAATCAATGACATCAGTGATGTTTTTCAAAATATGTTAAACATTCTTTGCTACTCTTTCTCTCTTCAAGAGTGGAAGGTTAATTTGTTTCCCTTCCATATGGAATGAAATTAGTGATTCACAATATAATATGGCAGAAGTCATGCAAGATTACTTCCAAGATTGGATTTTGAGAAGATTGATTGATCTTAAATGAGTTGCTCTGTCTTTTAGATTCTTTGGGGCGGGGGGGGGGGGATGAATAGCTGCCATATTAGTATTCATGTTTACCTGACAATACAACCTAACCAGAAAATAATCAGCCTTGAATACTAGAGATCAAAAATGCCAGTCCCAGCTTATACTTCCCTTAGCTACCATTACAGTTGGCCACCGAGCAAGAGAATAGTGAAGTATAATCATCTGCATGACATTGGTCATGACGTTGGAAAACTGATCTCTAGTTTTCCATGCTGAGAGTTCAACCTCAGGAAAGATCTTGAGCCAAAACCACCAACTATACGACACCTAGATGCTTAACATTCATATTTGTGAGGTAATAAATACCTGTTGTTTTAAGCCACGTTTGGTATAAGTTGTCAGACAGCAAGACAAGTATCACATACAACACTGCCTATTGATCAGAAGACTCATTTCATACAAAAAGGGCTCAGGGCCATAGAATTTATTAGTCTTCTAACACTCAGAAGCAGCTGCCCTGATTGAACTGAAAATGGCCTACTGAAGACTGTTATGGGGCCCAATGGAGCCAACAGCTTGCAAGGTTAGGGTACTGTCTTCTAGCACAAAACTGATCTCTTAAGCCAGAAGTCACTTTTCCCATGGCCAGAATGTATGTTTCTGGGCATCAGAGGTAAGAGTGACCACTCTCAGTATTATACTGAATAATTCACTTCATTCATGGAATTTTTCTACACTTAGATTTCTCTTCAAAAACCAGCATGACTGCTTCAAGAAAATTGCATCATGAATATCTAAATTTATATTAGACACTTAAAAATCACTGTTTAATAGTGCTCGCTTTGGAAGCACATATACTAAAAATCACTGTTTAACACTTTATAAATTTAATATATAAAATGTTTTAAATAATATGTAATTTATGAGAAGAGTTTTAAAAACGTGCCCCAAGATAAAGAGGTTTTTCCATTTGTTCATGGTCTTTGCAATCAATTTTTGCAGAGGCATGCAGAGTACTCCATTCCCATGCTGTGAAAATGTAATTCAATAAAACCTAGATATCTTTTTATTAGGACCAAAGAACTTTCTATTTATTTCAAATATCAAAATAACACAAAGAACTAATTCAATATACAAGACACCTCCTATTCTTCACAGAGAACTGAATTTTTCTATAAAGACATTCATACTTAAGAAACATGAGACAAAACAAAATTATCTATTAAAACTCACAAGATACTTTGACACCAAGTTGACAATAATGAATTTTTCATATTTTAGTTTTCTTTGTAATTGCTTTTTTAAAGTGTCCTTAATTAAAAACAAAAGTTATGGTCTGAGATTGAAAGCAAATTCAAAAGCATTTCCACTTTAATGTACATCGGAAACCCCCTTCATCATAACATTTACTACACATCACGGAGCAGCTATATATCCAGTTTTGTATCATTTTTTTGGCAGCCACACTCATCCACTGTAATCATTTTATCTATGGGTTAAGAAAGAGTCTGATTGCTAGAAGGAATAAAAAACGTCATAATTACACCCCAGTACATTGTCCAACTTTAATGCAAGCAGGAATATCAAGCAAAGAGGCTGAGGAATGATGAGATGGGTACATGCTCTTCAGAAAAGGTTTTAGAATCGCCAACAGTGATGCAAGCGCTGCAATTACTTTTTTAAAAATCTAATTTAAAAAAAAAAAGGTTGTGTTCACTGTTGTATAACCCTTATTGTCTGAGTACAAACATTAATTTCTCTGTACTTAAACGGCTGCAGAGAATAAATTTAAATTGTCGTGGGGTTTTTCAAGAGTCAGAGAATTAAGATCAATACACAGCAAGTTGAAAACAAGAAGAGTAAGCAAATCTAAGGACTATCAAAACAATCTTTTACACAATCTAATCCTGTTATTTCTATTTTATTAATGCTAGAGCACGAGCCATGCTAATATTGTAGGGACAAAGTATCTTAAGTAAAAATATTTTAGAGGAAATAAGGGAAGATGCCCAAAATAATGCTACAGACTATACTGAGGGAAATGTGCAAAAAAAAAAGGTAAGATCTATGGAGTTGTGGAGTTTCCAGAAAGTGCTCAGAAAATTATTCTCACACTCTCCATTATTTACTGTAATTGTAACATATACCATAATACTACTTAAAGTTTTGGAAATGCTACTACTTATTCCTTATTAAAGAACACAGTTTCAGTCATTTTAAATTTGGCACTAGAACTTAAGACTATCTAACTATGACTGTTTAAAGGTCCTCAATTTTTCTGAGTTGATCAAGTTATATGTTGGGCAGGTTGCTGCTGCTCCAAATGAGAAACTCATCTCAAACGAGCACTTCTGGTTCACTTTTAGGCAAACTAAAGTGAGAAGTCACTCTGTGCAGAAGTGGACAGTTACAGTAACTGGTTATCTGGTTATTGGGGGGGGGGAGATGCTACTCATTCTATTTTATTTGTCAGATCTTTCTAATAAGCATCTACAGACAGGCCCAATGGTGGCTTCACATAATTACAAAGGCCACAATAAAGGTTTTTAAAAATGATAATATAAATCATAAAACCAATTTTTCTCTAGTACGCAGTGCCAATTTTCCTATATAAACACAGAGCAACCTAAAAAAATTACTGCCCAACCAGCAGGCAACACAAACATAAGACCCATAATCAAAACAACAAAACCCAAACCCAAAACAACCAAAACATTTATTAACAAGTACAATCTAACTTCAAGTCTAACCAACTACAACCCTTTGAAAAGGCACAAAGAAAGATGACAATAAAGGGACACTGTCAAAGAGCTAAAGGTCAAAATCCGACTTTTCATCAATGATATATTGGAGTGATATGGTGGGGAGAGACGTCAAGATTATAAATACATCAACTACATTGCTTTTTTGCAATTGCAGAGTAAAAGGCAATAAATGATATTGTACATTAACCTTTACCTAACATTTTACACTTACTCTACAAAGATGTTTTGACACTTTTTAAGGTTGACAGAAAATTATTAATGTACTTATTTCATGACCTACCAACACTTTAGTAAAGCACCAATTTAGAACTTTTCATTTTGCTACTCCTCTTTTCTCAACAATAAATGTCAAGATTACTTAAAAGTATGCAAAGATCACTTACTACCTTTATGTTGGTTTTCTCTTGTTGGAATGAGGAAGAAAACCTAACCTTAAGTGGTATTTTAGGCTGTAAAAAATAGGTTGGGTTTCTTATAAAAATAACTTCAACTTGATCTAAAAAAATTCTAAGGCAAAAATTATTTTGATAATGTAGTGTGAAAAATAAGCTTACGGTTTAGCATTTAATAGTGTTCATGAAAAAACATAACATTCAATTAAATCGAGGAAAACAGTATTCTCACTGCAACTGGTTTGTCAGTTTGACTATTCCCAGAGTATTTTCTTCTCCTCTTATTTTTATACATACAAACAAACACAAACATTTAATACTTAAATCTTAGTATTTAAACTAATGATTTTTAAAAAATCCATTATCCTAGAACTTCAACTGTGCTTCTTTGGACAAATATTTATTCAAACAACAAAGAATTTAAATTCTTTTAAATGATTTAATACCTACTAAAAATCTTTGGTGCATTTAAGTCAAAACTGATTAGGTTAATAAATTTCTGTACTTGATAAGTTATTCAATTTACAGATTAAGTGCTAACTGCTATCTGCTAAAAAATTAATTTAAAACAATAAATTAGGCTCATAAAATAAAAAATTCTCAATGAGGTTAAGCTTAATTGTGAGATTCAAAATTTTAAGTACAGTTACAAAATAAATGGATTTTAAAGTTATAGAAAGATCAACTAAAAACCATAGGCCTCATTTTACACTTTTTGTGCCAACTTCAAAAGCTTATATACATTCAGTTTGCCCAAATCCATGAGGTTGTCCCAATCTAAAAAATGCCATACATTTTTAGAAATTACAGGCAGCAGATTAATTTTCTTCTTATTGTTTTGTCCACCCATTTTTTTCCTAAGAGGTATACTACCTACCTCTACAACTGGGTTAAGAGTAAGAAAATGTAGTGCCTGGCACACAGTGAGCATTCATCAATGCTGTCTTTTTTTCCTTCCTAGTAGCTCTGCTGCTTTGAACACACGAGCTTCAATAGATCCTTTAACGTTAATATCAGATTCTTTCTTTCTAAAGCAGGAATATGTCATGTCCTTTTTATTTCAGAGCTGGTTATGAGGTTCAAATGAAATAACATGTGAAGGCATTTTAGAAAACAGTAAACCATTATTTAAGTTGAAATTACCTAAAATAACTAAATACAATTATACAAACGTATTCACTTTACGTAAGAGATGTGTTCCAGACAAGTTCTATGTAAACCAATTACTACAATTAAATCATATATTTAAAGCATTAGAATATTATTATTAAAAGAACCCTAAATGCCTTCAAAACACACAGTATTCTTTTCAATGTAAAAACACAATATTCCCTTTTTCTGCCACCAAATTTACAATATACCATACACACACACACACACACACACACACACACACACACACACACACCATTTGCCTTTCTGTAAGTCCAATTTTTTCTGTATTAGCTTATACATAAGGCAGAGTATATTTTTAGGTATGATTTGTTTCACTATAGTAAGATTTTTAGTTAAAATCTTGTCAGTCTTTATGATAAAAAATCATAAAGATGTATCTTTTGCAGTCAATTTTAAGGACTAACAGACTAACAGTACCTCATATAATCAAACTCAATCATGTAAGTACCCCAGAAATCACATTTCCACACAAAGTAAATCAGAATGCTTTAAAAAGAAATGGTACAGTAATTATGCCTACTGGTTCTAAGATAATTACAAGCAAACCTTGGTAAATAAGGCAAAAGTCAGGTTGGTTTTATTATTTATATCAGCTACTTTGGTTAACTGCCTCAATTTTCAATATTTTTTTCTTTTATCATCATTATTATGGCAAATGTTCCTATAAAGTACCTTCATTTCTTAAGTGCTTTAACAGTTTCCTCTATTACTAACTGGATATATTTTACTCACTGAAAGTTCATTATTTTATTTGTGATTTTTTTTTCACAAGGGCCAGGCCAGACGTTAATAGTTTGCACACAAAAAAAGTGCTTAAAGCAATTAGAAGTGTAAACAAAACTGAAAGAGAACTTTTAAAATTGCTATTGTCTAGACCTTTATATACAAATAGCATGTTAATAGTAAATCAACCCTGCCTAGACTATTCTCAAGCACCCTACTAGGAAACATTATGCTAGTTTAAGTTTAAATTGACTTGAAAATATGGAAAGTGCACATCTTTAAAAGTATCTTATAATTCTGACCTTTCTTAATTAAATTTAATCAGTGAGGTGTTGCTGTAATCACTATTTCAACGAGTCCTCGACTTTTGTCTCTTACAAAAATAAGAATCAAGGATAATTATAGATATTAAGCTCATATGAAAGCAAAAATAAAGATCTGGATTGGATGTAAATCTGTACACAAGTAGTAGTTCCATCCAATTAAACAACATTAGGTTAAATTAGGTGCAAATTTCACAATCTGTTTGGCACTTTTTCTAACAATTATACATAAAATATGGAGGTTCTGTTTCCCAGTTTCTATTAGAAAAATTAAATAAAACCCAGAGTAGCATGTTAAAATAAGTGACATTAGTTATAACTGCCCCTTATTGAGATGAAGATACATGCTTGTGATATATTATTGTTTCTGAAATAAATGATAAAGTACAAAAAGTGAACTTACCTCAAAGATATCTAGTTAAAGATGGCATATTTTCCTTTCAACACAATTTCAACTTGTATAATTCAATGCCTAAATCTATGTTTGCCACTTGTTATTCATAGTAACTGAAGTATAAACAAAATTCACTTATCTGACTTCAATCCTAAATTTCTTTTAACATGCTCATCTTGCCTAAGTTACCTTTCTGGCTTTGAGTTTGTCTAAATTCCAAAGGAGAATGATAACCTAAAATTATGGATAGATGTCAAGACCACATAGAAATACCCCAAATTTTCTTATTTTTTCAAATTCCTAATTTCAATTTTAAAAATCTGGATGAAATAATAAATCTTAATTTAAGATAAAGAACAGTTGCAATTATCAGTATAATCTCATATTCCTTCTTTTTTTTTTTTTTTTTTTGGTACCAGGGATCAAGCTCAGGACCTTGCACTTGCAAGGCAGGCGTCGGCACCACTGAGCTAAATCCCCAGCCCCTCATATTCCTTCTTAACAGTTACATGATCCTTAAACTTATTTGTAAGATGAGAAAAAGAAAAAAGGAGACTAAAGAGAAAAAATTTCCACTGATGATTAAAAAAAAACCCCGTAATGTCAGCAGCTAATAATTCTGAAAAGTTTAAGGAGCATTAAAAATTAGCAGTAATTTTTTAAAAATCACAAAAACATTTACTTTAAATATTATGCCAAAATGTGTCCAAATATCCATATGTTCAGTTAACAGTTTTCTTGATTTGAAATTGTTCTAAGGACTTGAGAAACTAGAGAAAATTTAAAAAAATAATAATAGCAGCCCTACTAAATTAAAAGCTACTAGCTTTTGGCTAGCATTAGCACATAACCATCAAAAAGTTCCTGGAATGTTTTCTCATGGATGATGTTCATTAGCAGAAATGTTTTGAACAGCAGTAGTGTTATCAAGGCCCAGTAATGTTCCTAGGTAAGACTGCTCTCTAGGATCTAGCATTTGTTCAGGTCGGACTGGATGAACTATATTTGCAGGTTGAGGAGTAAGAGTATATTTTTCCAGAAAAGCTAAATCAGCTGCACGTGGATAATCAGTGGATTGTGACTGTGGTGACAGGATCTCATGAGAGGATGGCGGAAGAGTGGTAGTATGTTGAACCAGATCACTTGGAGTATCAGGCATCTGAACTGGAACCAGCGTTACTGGAACACACACTTCAGCAGACACATTCTGTAATATAGTCTTGGCTTCTGACTGATAAACTTTGGGCTGGTCCATATATTGTTTTGTTTCTGTTTGAAAGATTTTATCATCAGATGAGTATTCCACTGGCAAAGACACAAGTTTTTCCTCAGACGTACTGAGAGGATCATCAGGAGACTTAATTCCATGAACATGGTCAATGTGGTATTTTAGCTTGTCTTTTCGCTTAAATGTTGCACTACAGTGCTGACAGTTGAACGGTCGGGCATCAGAATGAATAACTAGGTGTTTTGTTAAAGTTTTCTTAATTCTAAAAGACTGATTGCAAATTTGACACTTGTATGGTTTTTCTCCTGCATGAACAAAAATGAAATTAAAATATAAGCTCAATCCATTTCATGATTTAATAGCAAATTTTCCACATGCATACTTATAAAAACTCCTTAAGGAAATGATAAAATGAAGAAAGCAAGTTTAGAGTGTTTAAAGACAAGCAGAAAAAGTCAATATAATACTATGAATCTGATGAAAGGAAAAATACAGAATAAAAAAATATACTTTTTATAGTAAGACTTTCTATAGTCAAATTATCTATTTAATCATAATTAACCCAAGTTTGGGTTATCTCAAGATTGTAAGTCAGAGATATAAGGCAACCAAGGAAAGGTGCTGTCTGGGGTCTAAAGAAAGGAACCTATTCAGAGCAGAAAGGTTGGCTGGGGAATGGGGCTTAGTGCTAGAGCACTTGCCTGGCATGCAAAAGGCCCTAGGTTCAATTTCCCAATTGGGAGGGTACTGATGAAACTAACAACACCAGGAGAGGTAGAGCGGTAAACTACTTCTCAGCTAAGCCTTTATGAATTAAAAATGTCATCCACAGGGCTAGCTATCTCTAGATATTAAAATGTAGTACTTAAAGATGTAACTCCAGGGGCTTTTATTATAGACATCATAAAGTAGTTTATATCACACAATGTATCTTGCTGGTGGGGGGGAATACAAGGGTAAAAACAAAACATCTACTGTTAACAGGCACAAAAAGCACAACCAGGTCAGCCAGAACCCAAGGGGGCAAAATTCTGGAGCCACAGAAGTAGGGCAGGACTCCCTTCTCCCAGCGCTCCTTCAGACTTAGTGTTTGCGGACTAGAGGGTGAGTTGCAGCCTGAGGCTTGGGGAAGGTCAATGGGCCAGGAAAATGAGACTAGGACTTGAGGTGTCAGAAGCCTGACAAGGAAAAAATGGGAGAGAAGTTAACCAAAATATCTATTTGCTAATTCCTAAAATGAGCATTTGCAGGGTGTGACAGCTGGAAACCAGGGGCTAGGAAACTAAATGGCTGCCAGGTGTATCAGATATTCCAAGGATAGTCGGGAGACAGAGACTGGAATTCAGATAAATAAAAACAAAGAAAATTTGCTGTTTCTTATGTAGAAGGAAAACAGTTCTAGGTGAAAAATAGTAATGCAAGAAGCAAACAGTAAAGGGTAGAAAGTGTAAATGATATTACTTATTTAAAACAAAAAGAATGCAGGGCTCCACTGCTCATGAATATAATCTCAGCTACTCAGAAGCTAAGGCAAGAATCACAAGTTCGAAGCCAGCTTGGGCAACTTAGCAAGTCCTTGTCTCAAAGAAGAAAAGAAAGGGGGAAGGGTGTGTGCTCAGTAGTAGAGCACTCTTGGACTCCATCCCCAGTATATGGAAAATAATAATTAATGACTTACATGCTTTTAAATGAATGTGAAATTGTAAAATTAAAATATATAATATATAAAAGATGAGAGAGATAGGGGTGTTATTAAACTGCATTATCAGAGAAGTGAATAATTTTAATTATTTTATCATTTCTACAAGGTAAAGTGCATCTAGCTTAAGGATACACATTGTTATCTTCAGGGTAACCACAAAAAGAATAATGAAAACACATATTTAACAAGCTAACTCGGGACAATGGATAAGAAAATAATCATAAAGAAAGTGAAAACTAAAGTATCAAGGAACAGATGTCACAAACATGAGAGATTTAAGTTTAAATAAATACGAAATCAGAGACCATTTAAATGAACTAAATATTCCCATTGAAATTAGTTATTATTTACAATAGATAATAAAACAATAATAAAAGTCATACATCTTAAATGCATGTCCTTAGAAGAATTAGGAGAGTGAGAAAAAAAAAAACATGATTCAACAGTATCAAAAGTGTGCTGGTCGGCTGGGATGTAGCTCAGTGGCATCGCGCCTGTCTTGCAAACTCAAGGTCCTGAGTTCGATCCATAATGTATGTTGGGGGGGTGTGGGGATGTGCTGGTTTATCTCATTATAAAGAGGCTATTTTAGTATGATAAAATGACATTTCAACAGAAGGATATAACAAGCTATACATATCCAGTAACATAGCCTTAAAATATATAAAGCAAAAAATATAAGAAATCAAAAGGAAAAATAAACAATCTATAATGATGGTTAGGTTAAGAGATTTTAACATCAATCTCTCAGTAATTTATAGAATAAGTAAAAGAAAGTAAGAATGTAGAATGTTGAAAAACTGTTCTTCAGAATAAAGCTATGCTAGAAATCAATGACATAAGCATCCTTAGAAAAATCCTCAAATATTCAGAAAGTGAGTAATATAAAAAAATAAAACATGAGTGTGAGAAAAAACTCAAATAGATGTTAGAATACATTTTAACTGAATTATACTGGGAATGTGAAATTGAGGTATGGACTATACCTACAGCAGTATAAAGAGTAACATATCTTTAAACTACAAACAGTAAGATATAAAATGGTAAAATAAAAAAATTTAGGTAGCTATTTAAAGAGGCTAAGGAAAGACAGAAATTATACCCAAAGAAAACACAAGGAATGAAAAGACAAAAGCAGAAATGAAAAACAGATTAAAAAAAAAAAAAGAAAAATCAGCAACACCTACTGGTTATTTGAAAAGATTAATACAATTAATAAATCCCCAGAAAGAAAAAAATACATTACTAATAACAAGAATGAAGAAAGTTTTTCACTAAAGATACTATAATTATTAAAAAATTATACAATTTCCTGAATTCTGCCAGTAGCTTTCTATTTTAAACAGAATTCCTTAAAAAAAAATTGAATATTGGTTAGCTCTATAACTATTTAAAAAAACCTTTCATCAGGCTAGAGATGTAGCTCAGTGGCCTAGCATGCATAAGGCTCTGATTTCAATCCCCAGTATTGCAAAAAAGTAAAATCGTTTTCTAAGGAAAATAATAAATTCAGATGGATTTATCAGTGGATTCTTCCAAAGATTAATTAGAATATGATGCCAATTTTATACAAACTTCTCCAGGTAACTAACAAAGATCTATTATTTTGCAGTCATTTTTTGAGACCTGCATAGGTCATTTATAATAACAAAGCTTGGTGGGGACATTATAAGGTAATAAAGATAGACAGCAGATCTCTTGCACAAAAAAAGACAGCAAATATAAGCAAACTGAATCTGGCTGTACAAGATAAAGGATACTATATCACATATAAAATGTAGTACATCCTGAATATATTATGATAAGATTAATAGGATAATGCATCACAAATTAATCTGGGTTTAATTCCAGAAATCGCAAGAGGAATAGATGGTAATGAGAGAGAGAGACTGATATATATATATATATATAAAATGGAATAATGGGAAGAATATATAAAGGACCTCTACAAAGAGATAAGGGAAAAAAGAAAACAGACAATCCAATTTGAAGAAATGAGCAGAACTAATCTGGAATTTCATAAAATAGAAATCCAAATGGCCAATAAGAATATGAATTATGGAAAGGTGCTCCATCCATATCATTACTCATCACAGAGATGCAAATAAAAGCTACTTTCAGATAGTACCACATATGCATCAGGTCAATCAGCCAAAAAACACAGTATCAAATGTTTGTGAAAATGTGGAGTGACTAGAATTTTCTTATACTACTAGTGGTAAGGGAAACTGATGAAACTATCTTTAAAAACTGCTTAGCACTGTAGTTCCTACTAAAGTAGAACATACGGATTTTCTATGAGCCAGGAATCCTGAGGCCAGGAGTGTACAAATGAGAAATAAATGCATATATATGAAAAGACATGAACAAGAATATTCAGAGCACATTCATTCATAATAAAACCAAGAAAATACAGATTAAGTGTCCATCAAAGCAGAATGGAATACATACGGTATATTCATATAAGAAAAATAAACTACTGCCATAGTATACTCTCATAGATACAATATTGAGCAAAAGAAGCCAGATTTAAAAAGAAAGAAGAGTACATACTATGTGAGTCCATTTATCTGAAGTTAAAGCAGGCAAAACCAAATTCTGGTGATATAAGTCAAAACAGTCATTACCACTGTAAGGAGGCTACTGCCTGGAAGGGCCATGGATGATGCTTCTTGACTCCTAGCAGTGTTCTATATCTGCATCTGAGTTATGACTACACTGACATATTTATCAAGAAATTCACTAATCTGCTCATTATAGCCTGCACACTTCATGTGTAATACTTCAATAAAAGTAGCTTACAAAGACAATTCACCTTAAATTAAAAAAAAAAATCAACCAAGGCTTTAAAATCAACTCCTTAATTTGATGTCAGCTTTATGCCAATTTTAACTAATGTATTATGTTTCAACAAACTATTGAAAAACACATATAACTGCTATTCTGAGGATTACACAAAACACATGGACAATAATTCAATTGTAGAAAAAAAAATCTTACACTTTCTAAGTATCTATTATATTGTACCTTTTGCACAGAAAGGATATTATAATAGAACAGAAAACCTAGTTAAGGGGATTCCAGAATTGAGCAGCACATGCAGTACACTAAGGCTATACTGACGATAGAGAAGAATGAGTACAAAATTACTCAGAGAGCAATGATGGTTCAATGCCTTTGATCACTTCCTGGATAAACCATTCCATAAAATTACTACCTAATTTTACTCTGTATCCACATTTAGCAATTTTCCTTCTGCATTAATAAATTTAGCAACTCTACCTTCTGGATAAGGACATTCTATCCAGCACATTAAAATCTCATTCTGTAGAAAGTGAGTAAGCTAACAGTTTGGTTAATATATTTCCAACATTTATGAAATACATAAAATACTTATAATTCTCATACACTGACAAAATTGAGTTTGTGGATCTATTAATCTCAAAAATGCACTTGGGCACATCAGTTCTTGGAACAGCCACTGTGTGAAGTCTTGTCTAGGTACCTTGCTGACCATTTTAAGAGTTGGCAAACTGTATCCTGTAAGAAAACTTCAGTTTGCTGCCTGTACTGCATTTGTCAATAGTTTCATCGGAATACAGCTCATTGTTTATATGTAGTCTATGCTGCTTTCATGCAACAACATCAGATCAAGCAACTGACAGAGACTATCTGGTTCACATAGTCTAAAATATTTACTATCTGGCCCTTTACAAATGCTTGCTGACCCCTGCTTTAGACTATTTCTCTTCATTCCATAACAATAGTCTGTTTTAGTCTATACTAGAGCTAATTACTGTATCTCAATTTTCAAAGACCACAGGGATTTACCTCTAATTCCAATTATCTGTGATATATCCAGAGATAGAAATGTATATATATAATATATATATATCCCCCTCCCCCTTTGGTTTTTTTGATACAGGGTCTCACTATCAAGCCTTAAACTCACTATGCAGCCCAGGCTGACCTCAAACTCATCACAATCCTTCTGCTTCAGCTCCTGAGTGCTGGGATTATAGGAATTCATCAGAAATTCTATATTCTTATTGGACACAAATCAAGTATAGTACAAATCAATGTTTTCAAAAATTGTAATGCCATTTAATCACCAGTATTAAATTTTACCTCTAGAATAATTCCTGAAGTTTTCTAATTCTTAAATCATCAATGGTCTCAAATTAACTTTCTAAAAGTCCATCGTCTCAGTCAACTTACAAGTTCTGTTAGGCTCTTACTTTTAACTGATGTGGAAGATAGCATTTAGTTTGCTCATTTTATATTTCCACATATGTGCCTCCAAATTACAACTTTTTCATTTGCAGAAAGGTATAATTTTTCTTTTAATAACAATACTGTATCAATAATAAATCTTTACTATAACTCTTTGGTGCTTAAACTGCCAAATTCAGTTATTTGACATTTTAATATTTGTGAAATCAATTAATGTTCTTTTTGAATAGCAGCTTGATAAAACCCAAACTGAATATAAAACGAAGCAGTTATATCTGTTTAAACAGGGTTCTTTCTTTAAAAAAATTTTTGAAAACTGTTAATTATACGTGAAGGCAAAAAAGAGTATGACAAAAATCTAACATAGTCTATATTTCAAAACATAATTGCTTTCCAAAAGGGGAAAAAGGGAAGAGTTAGAAAATGAAAATTTCTGGAATGTTTTCAACATTAGTTACCTATAAATCATGACTGGCTGTGCCAAAGGACAACTATACAATGGTGACCTGGTAAACAGAACAATAAGGGCATATCTGCATTACACTTTTAAAAGAGAAGAAAATAAAAGAAACAGATAATCAAAACCTAAGAAAGGCCTTCACAAAATGAAATGAACAACTGGAAAACACTCAGAAAAGGGGAAAATAAGTACTAAAAATTTAGGAATCCCCTATGCAAAAATATTTTCCTAAATTCTAAAAAGTGTATCACTTTTTGGCAATACTGAGACTGAAGCCAGAGTCCTCCCACGGAGCCACTTCCCCCAGCACCTCCACTGTCCTTTTTTTGAGACAAGGTCCTTCTAAGTCACTGGGATGCTGGACTGAATCTGTGAATCTCCTGCCTCAATGTCCTGAGCAGCTAAGATTCCAGGTGTGAGGCACTGTGCCCGGCATGAGTACAAATCTTTTTGTTTTGTTTTGGTACCAGGAATCGAACTCAGGACCTTGCGCTTGCCAGGCAGGCGCAGCACCACTGAGCCAAATTTCCAGCCCTCAAGTACAAATCTTAACAATGAAAAATATTCAACCAAGAACAACATATATGGACACAATTTTACTCCTGAATGATTACACAAAATTTTTATAAAATACTGAAAGTTTTACCTGAATGTGTCCGAAAATGCATTTCCAGACTTGATTTTCCTTTAAAAATTTTCTTGCAAACATCACATTGATGAAATGTTGCTTTATATCTAAGAAAACAAAAAATTTTAGTTTTTCAATATAACTTTAATAACAATGAAAATAATTTACATCTTTACTTATAACTATACATATAATTACCACATTAATAAGACACAGAACTCAGAAGAAGGATGAATATTTTAAGCATCGATATCGCCCCTAGTTCTTCCTCTTCCAGTTATATTCATCAACTAAATCTATAAAAAGTTATCCTTAAATTTTCAACTGCTTCGAATCGCTGAGCTTTTATTATTACCAGCCATGAAATATACAAAGGAAAGTTATAGGAACAAAACAGATCAAAGGTGGGCTAAAGAGGAAAGGAATAGTTGGCTACCAAAGTATTACTAAAAAGTGACAGCAGAATTTTCATAGTAGTAGAACTCTTCTACATTTTGATGGTGGCAATTATAAGCGTAAAATTACATGCTAAAAAGAGTAAATTCATTTTACGTAAATAGATACTAAGGATGATTAAAAAGAAATTGCAGTAATTTCAAAATCTGCATTCACAAAAAAGCTGACACTGCCATGCAGGAAAAAAAAATGATTAAGGCCCTAAAGGAACTAGGTACAGAAAGATCATACTTTAAGACAATAAAGGTTATCTATGTGATAAACCCATAGCCACCATCATACTAAGTGGGGAAAAACTGAAAGCATTTCCTCTAAAATTAGGAATGAGAATAGGATATCTTTTGTTTCCACTTCCATTCAATATAGTGCTTGAAATTTTAGCTAGAGAAATTAGGCAAGAAAAATAGAAGGATGCAAACAGAAAGAAGTTAAGTTATTCTGATTTGTAGATGATATGATCCTATACTTAAAAGACGCTAAAGACTCAAGTAAAACTTTCAGATATGATAAACAAATAAATTCATTGAAATAGCAGGACAGAAAATCAAAATTAAAAATTAATAGCTTTTCTATACACCAATAATGTGCTACTCACTAAGAAAAATATCTGAAAAACATTCCAATAAGAATAATTTTTAAAAAATACCTAAAAATCAATATAACCAAGAGTATGAAAGCCCTCTATCATGAAAACTACAGAATGCTGAAGAAAGAACTTGAAGAAGACAATAAGAAATGTTCAAGGATTGACAGAATTAATATTGTTAAAATGGCCACATTACTGAAAGCAATCTGTGGAGTCAATGCAAAGACCTGGGTATAAGATCTCAAACTCTACAAGTGCTAGACTAAGACATGGGAGAAAACACTTGCAGTCAGAGGCGCAGACAAAGACTGAGATTACATCAAATTAAAAAGTATCTGTACAGAAGAAAAAACAATTAACAGAACAAAGAGACAACCTACAGAATGGGAGAAAATCTTTCCTAGCTATTCTTTCGAAGAGGGTCAACACTGAACAATAACAATATCTAAAGAACTCAAAAATTTAACTACAAAAGAACAAATAATCTAATAAAAAATGGGCAAAGGAACTCAACAGACACCTCTCAAAAAAATAAATATACATAGCCAATAACGACATGAAAAAATGTTCAACATCTTTAATCGTCAGAGAACTACAAATCAAAATTACACTGAGATTCCATCCCATCCCCATCAGAGTGGCTATCATCAAGAATATAAAAAACAGTAACTGCTGGCCAGCATGTGTGGGGAAAAGAAGAATCCTTACACACTGTTGGTGGGAATGTAAATTACTACAGCCACTATGGAAATCAGTAGGAAGTTTTTTCAAAAAACTAAAAATGAAACTATCTCATGATCTAGCTACACCACTCCTTGGTATACGCCCATGTTTACTGCAGCACGATCCACAATGGCCAAGGTATGAAATCAGTCCAGGTGCCCTTCAACGGATGAATGGATAAAGAAAATGCAATACACACACACACACACACACACTGGAACATTATTCAGCCATACAGACAAAACAATCTCTTTTGCAGGAAAATGGAGCATAATAACTAAAATAGGTGTAGAAAGACAAGTTTCACATGTCTCCCCTAATATGTGGAATTTAGAAAAACAAAGAGGTGACATGAAAATAGGAGAGAGACTATTAGACAAGACGAAGGGGACTGAGGGAGGGAGAAGGTGTGTAAGAGAGGGTAATGGGGAGATGGGTATGATCAAAATGTTACATGAAAATTCCACAATGAAACCTGATATTTTGTAAATTTAATATGCATTCATAAAATATATATAGGAAAAATGTTGATATTGCTCTCATCAGCTCACTTCTTAGCACGTATTTTACATTTGAACTTATGAATAAAATAAATTTAACACCTAAATAAAAAGGAAATGTTAGTCCTCTATTTTTATTATAAATGGAATAAATAAAGGTACAAACTACTCAAAACTTAATTTGGTAAGCAACATAGCGTAGTGCCTAAGAAGTACTTTTGAGTTAATCTCAAATTCAAAATTTAATTGTTAAGGACTATGATATATAAAACAATTAGCTTTTAAACAAAAGTCAATGTCTACCACCTTCTAGTCTTTAAGTGAAAACAAGCAGGAAAAATATACTTTCAGGTCTGTAAAGTGCTAAGGAAACTAGAGAAAGAGTTAACCGATCCCCAATTAAACAAAACAAACAAAAGAAGTTTTAAATTTTCTCCAATCAATATTTAGCCAATGTACTAAGTTTGAGAAATGTTCCTTTTGCACTTACTTTTGCCACACTTTTTCTCCAAGGTGCACACTTTTGTAATGAACAGTGAGATGATCCCTCCGACCAAAACATTTTCCACATTCTTCACACTGATGAGCCTTTTCACCTAATAATAAAGACCCAAATATTCTGATTGTTGTAGGCATTTTAGTTTTTTTGTAACAGAAATAAATGACCAAACTGGAACATCATATAGTGGCAAATACACCAGGAAAGTAAAGCCATTTTTTATATTCTAGGCTATTTCCTTTATGTTCCTTACTGATGTATCTTTCCTTTAAGAATCTAGGCTTAATTTCATAAATATAAATCTTTTCCCTATTGACAGAAAAAAATTAGCGACCTTCTGCTTTAGACACCCAATCTTACCTTTCAGTGTAACAAAGTAAGATAAAATTCAAAATTCAAACTTCAGTATATTTTTTAGGATTATATGTCTGGATATGAAACACCTCAAATAAACATTTACTAAATTGAGATGAGGCTGTTTTACTGTTTGAAAAAAGGACCTGAACGTTTTCAGATCTTTGTACCTTGCTTTTAAAAATTTTCACTTGTGGGGATTTCTCACATTTGCAATGAGCCAAAAACATATACAGTAGAAAATTCTACATAAATCTCTATTTTTACATTTAGTAACAAAGGCTTGGTCTTTAAAAATCACTCTCAATGCCAGTGTTCAATTAACACATGTGACTAGAATTACGAATTTAGAATTCTCTTCTTAGAAATGAAAATGCATTTACTTCAGTGAAGTCACTAGATGTATAGCATGCCTTAAAAGTGACAATAACAACTGTAACTTGCCTCACTGAGGTCATTTAAGAATTATTATCTGCTGCATACTGTACACTTCAATTGGGTTTATAATAATAATAATAATCACCTGTTCTACTGTGCTCATAGAGATGCTCTTTCCCATTATTGTGCTCACAGAGTTGGCTCTCTTAGCACTTCCTGAACATCAATCTGAGAGGAAAAGATGAAAGAAATCCCCAGAATATAAAAATTATATACACAGTACAAAGATCTGAAATTGATCAGGATTATTAAGATTCTAATTTCCAATGATAGGGTTTCAAAATTCACTATAACATAAACTTTAGTACCCAATTATAGTTATTTCTCTTTAAACCCCAAAGTTTCACCAATTTCTCAAATGCAAACAAAATCAGAAATATTAGGATGGTTTCTCCCTTCAGGAAAGTATTAATAGCAATTATTATACATATTAACATAATATGAAAACTGCTGATTTTGAGAATTTGTTTAAAATTGAACTTTAAAATGTACATCAGAGTCATAAAACAGGTGATCAAATGATTAAAATTTCACTGAATATGTCGTAAAATTATTTCCTTTTCAGATGCTTTTTCAGGCAAGTTTTTGAACCAGCATTACAAAGAAGTGATCAAAATATTCCAAATTATTAAAATGATAGCCAACAACATAAACCTGATGTAATATTATAATCTTTTCAGGTGATTTTAAAAAGTATTTTGAAATTAGTGATACAAAATACAGCTTACCTGAATGTATTTTTTTGTGCTTAGTAAGGTGGTCATGACGAATAAATGTTTTTCCACATTCATCACATTCATATCTTTTATCATCATGATGGACTCGTAAGTGAAGTCTGTGTTTTAGAAAAAAATTGATAACTATTGAAACTCAGTGACCAAAAGAAAAATGCTTGATAATGAATAAATGATAAATAATGAAAGCTGGACTGTCTACTCAACCATTCTCATACATTATTTGCTTTATATGTGTGACTTTCAGAGTTCCTGCCAATGTTTTACCAATCGATCCCAAGGTTTCTATTCATCTCTTCCAAAAAAGCACTTCAACATTTGCACATGGTCATAGTACTTCTGGATGACACTTCTCAACTTGATAAGATTTCAGTCTATGTACTTCACTGAATCTAGCAAATATAATGGTAATTCTTTATCTGACTGGCCAAGACCCAGAGATATAAAAATAGGTAATTTCAGGAATTAGAATCAGACAAATGAGGTTAAGTGTATAAGTGATTAAGCACATGATTATGATAATAAATGACAGCAGATAACTGAGGATTAATCCAACTCTGGACAACTGATACCACTTAAAATTGATAGTTGAGCATTTACTTATTTAGAGGACCTCAACCGTACGAAAATTATACTTTACCACTTTTCCGCACACCGATTAAACAAAATGGAGCCCATTTTATAGTCACTCTAGATTATAAAAGATTTAGGTTATTAAAACTCATCTAACTTCAATTTTTATCCCTGCAATCTTCTATCTACATGTATATATCCTAGCAAAAAGAATAATTTTTCCATTCAAGTCACCAAAATAAGTGTTGATTCTACCATAAAAATTAGTAAACAAAAATTAGTAAACTGACTAGACTACATCTAAAGGGAAAACATTCTGTTTAAACTTAGAGGTTTAAGTAATAAATGAAAATGTAAATGGTGTGGTGGTGCATGGCCACAATCCCAGCTACTTAGGAGGCTGAGGTGAGGTTCACAAAATGGAAGGCAGCTGGAGCAACTTAGTGGGGCCTTGTCTCAAAATTTCTAAAATATGGCCAGGAATGTTGCACACCGGTAGATGCTTGAGGAGTGTATGTGAGCTTGGGAAAATCTCCAGTACTGCAAAAGTTAAAAAAAAAAAAATTAAAATTCTAGAGAGCATTAATAAAAATTAAAATTATATACATGTTTCACAAAAAAGGGTTACATATTTAGGGGAAAAAAAACCCTAACATTTTACAAACTATAATATGGTCAGAGTCAGCCATTAAAACAATTGCACCCGCCCCCACCAGTACCAGGGATTGAACTCAGGGCCTTGTGCTTGCAAGGCAGGCACAGCGCCACTGAGCTAAATCCCTGGTCTGAGAATTCCAGAGTTTTAAACCTTGCCATATTTGTAATACTAATGATATCCTTGTAAAATAAGGAATTAAAAAATATACCAAGCTTGGAACACCAGAATTTTAATAGAGTTTCAAAGAAAAAAATTAAAAAGAAATTTTAATAATAACTTAGTAAATCTTTCAGTAAACTTGCTAATGAAATATTCAATATCTTATGTACAGAGCAAAGATAGTATTAAGATATATAGAGAAATCTATTCAGTAAGATTTTCTTTGCACAACTTTGCATATCATAAGGGCTAAGAAATACCTTAATTCAACACAAAAAATTAATAGGAAAATAGAACTAAAATGGAGATGTAATTTTCTCTTACTTAGTATATGAGAAAATGGCTTTCCTACCTGTATGAACTTCCATGCCGAAAACTTTGCCCACAGATACTACAAAGATGAGGCTTTTCTCCACTGTGGATTCTCAAATGTTCTTTTAAAGTAGTTCTGTGTTAAAAAAACATAATTTAAAATTCTTTTAACATCAATGCATATACTTCCCACACATTTCCAGAAAGCTTATTTGAAAGAGGTATTATGGCAATTCTTCTCCCTTTCTCCTTCAATACTTTTGCTCTTTCTAGGGCTATTTTCACCAAACACAGTTATTATGTCTCTATCTTTAAAAAAAAATTAAAATAAAACAAAGTAGCTTTGGCCTCCTTCGCCATTGGTTTGCTTACAGGTAAGCAAACTTTGAAAACATAATTTAAAAACTCAATTACTGAATTAGGTAAAAATGATGTGGATTTTGGTCAGCAGTGTTTCATAATATTTTCAAATCCAGTTTTTCCCAAACGTGTGCTCAACATTTATTTCAAAAATGTCTTGAGGCTTAAGACAACATTACAAATATCTGTAGCTTTTTGGTGTGGAAGTGAAAAAGCAACCTATAGAAAGGATGTGGTTGCTTTTCCCAAGTCCTTTTAGCCAGCTGACCCTGGATGGGTTACTGTGCAGCTATCACTACTCCACATATATCAGGAGTGACCCCTACAGCTCTAACTTTTGGGGCCTCCCCACATACTGAAGTGCTGAGAGGAAATGAAACTTTTTTGGGGGGGAGGGGTACCAGGGATCAAACTTGGGACCTTGCACTTGAGAAGCAGGCGGTGGAACCACTGAGCTAAATCCTCAGGCCCTAAACGAAACTTTTTAAGGGGGAGTAAGTTAAAGGTAAATATGACTCACCTTTGCAGGCTTTTAGCTATAACTGTCCCTGGGTTTTAAGAGTTTAAGGACTAAAAAAATGAAAGCAGAGCTCTGCCAGCAGAGGGTGCTCTTCTACAAGGTTCACCAACACATGACAAGTGCCAGTTTCATTTATAAAACACTTTTGTGGAAAATACTCCTAAAAATATTCCTAAACCCCCTATTAAGTACTTAAGAGTGAAAACATAAAATGGTTATTTTTATTTGGGTTTTCAGCTTGTTTGCTTTTTGTTTTTACACAAAGCTCTAGATGGGGAAAAAGAAGTTTATAATCCATGTAGTAAGCAACACAATTTTTCAATCTGTAACTATGATTTCATTGTATATAGTATACTGATTCTCCTATTCCTCCATCATAACCATCTGTTAAAGAAAACCATTTCTAATTTTTTAGTTATGAAATTTTTATGAACTGAAGATAAAATTTGTATGTACTATAAAGAGTAATATTAAACAAATATGTAGATTAAGAATTGGAAAATGAGTAGTACCCTAAAATACCTCCATAATGCTTCTCCTACATCTCATTCTTCTTTCTCAGAAAATAACCATATATACTAAGCATTTCCTTTTTTGTTCTACTATATACATAAAGGTGTGTGTGTGTGTGTGTGTGTGTGTGAGAGACTAAACAATATAGTGTACGCTTCTGAAAAGTTGAGTAGCAAGCACAAACCTTACAATACTCTTACTAGTAAGTACTAAAGGGCACAGAAAACAATGAGAATAGATCTCTGGATCAAAGTCTAGCTGGAGTTTGAGGGTTCCCTAGCATTTAAAATGTCCAGAGTTTTGACTCCAAGTTTTGACTTCCAAGGAGTTTCGGCTCCCTGCTTTGTCGTTCCTTCCCTGGAGTCCCAGTGGCATCTGTTCCCATACCTTGTGTGGACTCTGTAACTAGGCTCTTGTATTTCTTCACTGTCACTATGGACTTTGTCTTTCTTATATTTGCTAAGTCAGTTACCACTGATTCGTCCGCTTTATGGCTTTCAAACCATTGCAGTCTTCACACTTATTTTTCCTATCTTTAAAAAACAAACCTTTAATGAATTTTTAATTGGATTACATAGAGATAAAATGACATGTCAACCATTTAAAGCTGCAAATCCTGATTCCATATCATCTTATGCAGTGTATATAATATCTTCTTTTATCCTTATATTTTAAACTAATGCATACTTCAGGTATTGTGTCTTGAATTACTGTATCCATTCATATGTCATATTTATAATTATTTCTACACAAATGTACTAAAATTTTTCTGGTTATACAAATAATTCATCACCTTTCTCGTACTGATTTCCCACAAATAAAGCAAGTCCATTTTCTCTTTCCACCATGAGTACATTCTATATGGCGTTTCAAATTTCCAGTGTCGTTGAACTGCCGACCACATATATCACATGGAAAAGGACCTAAAAGAAAAAAGAAGAAAAGAATAGTGTGCATTTAAAGTTAAAGCACAATCCTGAGGTAAATTTAATAGATTTGCTATAAATTTATGGCTACCAATATCAGGGTATGAATCATAATACACTGCATTTATTGACTTGTAGTTTTCTCTCCCCTTCAGATTATTTCTAGAAGCCCGTTAACTATCATTTTTATGTCCCTAGAGCCATGTATAGGGCTGGCATGTAACAGACATATAATAAATGCCAAAGAAACTAATGTATTATAAGTTGAAATGGCCAATTCCTACTTTGAAATCAGACAGAAACCAAGCAGAAAATACTATATACTCTCTGTGAAGAGGAGGTGAAACCTTGAAAGAATGAAAAGAATAATAAGAGCTTATCTCTTGGAAATATACATGGGGTGATATGGTGAAGGTTTAAATTTTCAAAAATTGTTACACTAAAGGACACACTGGCATTAATCGCCCTCAAAACACTTCCCTTGTTTCAGGCTTATCCCATAGCTCTTGTCACTTTCTGAAGCCGTTCTCGAAGTCTTCGGTGGTGAGTGTCTTTAGTTGCACTGTCGTGACTGCCTCAATGTCTTGACTTGATTTAAAACGTGTACCTTCCATGGTCAGTCACCCACTGAATAGGGTGGATGGAGACACACCATAAAGCCTGCCGTCTGTTGGGTGGCACTCAACAGCAGCAATCACTGCAGATCTGATCACATCTCATAAAAATATTCACAAAAGAGGACTTTCAGGAACTGCTTCAAAGAGTGGCAAGAATGATGAGATAAATGTACTGAAAGGGAGGGAGAGTGTCATGAGGGGGATTAATGGCAATGTGTCCTTTACTGTAATAAATTTTTAAAAATGTAAATATTCACTATATATTGTGACCACACTGCATACCACTGTTCTCAACACAAGTTTTTGGTGATACTGAGTAGAGTGAAAATACTGCAGCACATTTTCATTTAATCTTACAAAATTAAACCAAATTTCTCATGGTAATAATGAAAACTCTGAATTTCACCATGATTTTAGCAAGTAAACATGTGGAGACAATAAGTTTTACTGCATAGCAAACTAAAAGAATATGTGAAAAGAAACACAGATAGAGCTCAAGGAAGATGTCTCAAAATTTGAAGGAACAAACTAAAGAAGAAATTGCAATGAATTAACCATAATAGCACAATTTGGACACTGGCATTCACAAACATATCTATAAGTATATAAGCATATAAAAATATCTATAAAATTGCTCAGTAGCCACGTAGCCTGGGAAAATTTCAACATGTTTTATATATTAGAAATGAGAGATGACCTCAAAAGTCTACATTGTATTAAGTATTTATAACATTTTTAATTTCTAATATATCATTTTCCATGGGATCTGAATCTTTTCCTCACTTATTAACTCATTCAACAAGTATGTTAATTCATATCTAGCCTTTTACTAAGTACAATGTGCTATTAAAAATCTCTCCACTCTCCCTGCTCCTACGGAGCACAAATGGACCCAAGAAGTTGACAAAAGCAGAGTATTTGCTTAGGTGAAAATCACTAAGATTAAGTAAATAAAAGACCCAAAATGAGCATTCATTATATTTTCCTGTAACTTTTGTTTAAAAAATATCATTTCTGTTTTAGGCTAAGCTGGTAGGATAAAATACTGGTAAGGCTGACAGCCATCTTTATCACAAATCATAGGAAATGAGGCCAAGGTAAAAACCAAAGCAACAAAAAAGATACAGTAATTAAAGTGACAGATTCATAATGATTGCAATCTGCACTTCTCAAAACACATTCTGCCTACTATGAAAATCACACCACATTCCTCCCTAGAATTTTGAAAATTCTAGTTTATAAGCATATACACACCAAATAAACTAGAATTTTCCTGTATATTTTTTTTCAATATGGAAAGAAGCAAAAGAATAATTTTTAAAAAGCTATACTGGTAAGTTTCGTGTCCCCGTGATCCACTCCCCTCCCCGGAATGTCTAAGTCTAACTAACTAGATGCCTCGGTTCCGTAAGAAAACTAACAAACCCACCAGCCTCGGTATCTTCAGTTTCCCCTCCTGGTTTGTAAGCCTTGAGTCTTCATTATGACCGGCGTTGACCACACCAGTGCCTACCTCTTTTTCTAGATGCACTCAAGTGCGTTCTTCCTCAGAAACTCCTTCCTGCTTCTCATCAAGAAACCAACCTTTATTTTCCTGTCTTGTGACACAGTGCCTACCTCTCTGTGTCACACAACACACAGCCTCCATTTGTATTGAAGTAAATTGTTAAAATCTGTCTGCTCAGACACATTTTGTTTTTTAAAGGTAAAATGTTGATCCTTTTATACATTTATACAGCAACTTTAGAAGACAGTACGGTGGTTTTTTACAAACTAAATATACTCTCTTACCATCTACTAGTGCCTTCACACTCCTAGGCATTTACCTAAGGAGCTGAAAATTTGTGTCCACATACGAACTTGCACTATAGGGCTGGGGATTTAGCTCAGTGGCACCACGCCTGCCTCATACACCCAAGGTCCTGAGTTTGATCCCCGGTACCCAAAAAAAAGAAAAGAAAAAAAATTTGCACTACATGTTTATAACAGTTTTATTTATAATCACCAAAACTTGGGACATTCATCAGCTATAACAAATACACCACTTCGAGGGCCAGGGATTTAGCTCAGTGACACCACACCTACCTCGCAAGTGCAAGGTCCTGAGTTCGATTCCAGATACTGGAAAAAAAAAAAGTACACCACTCTGGTGGAGGATGCTGACAACAGGAATGGTATAGGTGTGTGGGAGCAGGGGCTATAATGAGAAATATCTCTAACCTCTTTAGCTGTGAATCTGAAACTACTTTAAAAAAAATAAGGACTTTAAAAGAAAGAGTAGTTTCAGAGATGTCTCCTCCATTACGAAGCAGTAATCAATAACTGTCACGACTGCTTCAAGAAAGAGTATCTTGCTTACCCAGATGGAACTTTTCCTGATGCTTTAACCGTGCAAACCGTGATTTGAAATGTTCTTCACAATAGGTACACTTAAAAGGCTTATCTTGAGAATGCAGAATCATGTGTTCCTCCAAGTGTGGTCTTCGAGTAAAAGATTTCTTACAAATCTAAATTAAAATGCATATAAATGCAAGAGAATCAGAGTTAAAAAAATTAAAACATTCATAATGAGAAAAAAATTCAGATGAAGAAAAATCTCTCCCAAAAGTATAACCAAATTCTAATTGTAGGGAGGGAGGGGGCCCTGGTAGAATTACAGTAAGGAATTATTTTAAATTAGTACTAAAAATAATTGAATTTCATCTCTTTGTAGGTTTAACAGGGCTTAATTCTAGACAATTCTTAATCTCTTAATTCTTAATATCTTTAATATATGTTTAAACCACTTATGTGTCAAAAATAAAAGACTTTATCATTGTCCCCGTGTATTTGATTAGGAATACGAGTAAGAAGTCACAGAAAAAGCATTTCAAAATTTATCTCTTTAAGTGGTCAGAAGGAAGAAACACAAATCTTAGAGAAATGTGACATTTGTAAGAATTTTATAAGGCTATTTCAACAAAAAAACATATATACCAGTCACAATACTAAGTATTTCATGGATTATTTTACTTAATTCTCACAATAATCCAATGAAGTAGACATAATTATCAATTTCATCAGTTTATAGCTGAAAATGATAAAACTCAGTAAGGGGAAGATAGAACTGAAAGTTGAATACTTTAGCGATGTAATAGGATAGCTGTCCATAAATTCTTGGCTCCCCCTAAAAAAGTCTAGTTCCCTTCGCCTTAAATCTGCCTGGCTACGGTGACTTGTTTGATCAGAAGAATGTGGTAGAAGTGAAAATTTGGTATGTCTGAGGCTACGCCATGAAAAGCTTTGTAATTCTTACCATTCTAGGCTTCCTGGAACACTCAGTCCTGGAACCCAGCAGCCCAAATAGCCTCATGAAAAGAACAAAGAGGCTCCTGGTCACTGGTCCATCCTTGTTTACTCCTAGTCATCAGGTAACACCAAACTGCCAGTCATATGGTTTGGCCACTTTGGAAGTGGCCCCAAACCAGGCCAGATCACCCACTAGCTAGACACAACTAAGTGACTTCAACTGACACTGTGGGAACAGAAAACTACCTAGCAAAAGCCTGCCCTACATTTGGATTCCTGATGCATAAAAAGGCAAAACAAAACAAATCAGTTGTGCAAGAACACTAACTACTGAGGTAGGTTATTATGCAGCAACAGATAACCAGAAATGGAGGTGAGGGATTTCTAACATTTCATGCTCTGCAACAGTAACATACAGATCAGGTATATCGCGTAAGAATACAACACAGTGATTTTGGTAAAAGTAAAAACTCATAATTTCTACTTCCCAGGTGCAACATCTAAAAATTAACTCATACCAGAATAACTTTGTATATACATAAAAAAAAAAAAACCTCTATATTAGTGTAAAACCTAATAACCTTTCTTTCCTAAAAGCACTATTAAACTTACTTTGGTTTTCTAATACAAATTAAAAATTCTTACATCACATTTCCAACTTTCACTCTTAGTCTTCTTAATGGAAATAAATTCTTGTGCATTTTCAGGATGAAATCTATCAAAGAAAAAGATGAAGAAAAGATTAGGTCAATATTCCACATAATCTACCAATAGTAATTGTAAGAATCAGGTACTGATTTCCTTCTTTAAAAAATAGGCACATGTAGTAAGAACACAGGTATCATCACCATTTTTAATAAATTTATCAGTATCCTTAAGTTTATGGAGAAATAGGTAAAGAAAATTCTAATCATATTTTAAATGCAAGTCAGAACCTGGCCATTTATAGATAATGTGCAGTGCTATTCACCAGATTTTTTTTAGTTCAGATTTCGTAAATTTAATTTTCTTCAGAGTAAATTTACAATACACTATTAAATATTCTCACAAACTTTTTTACACTTTAAACACAAACTTGAATATAAAAAACAAATTTCCAAGAGTTTTAAGACCATGCTATTTCTAAATACATACCTGGTAAAACACGAGACAGAAAAGAGGACAATCAAAATGTTAAACATAAACCTTTGTATTACAGACTATATTGTTTCAATATAAAAATATCTCATCTCAATAGCAACAAAAATATGAACAAACTAACATTTGCTGCTCTTAACTTGTAACCTGCAAAACATTAAGCAATGGAAGGATGGGAGATGGGCACTGCATAGATGCTTTTAGCTTATTCTATATACATGAGATGCCACAAGGTAGATTACGGAACCAAGGCAATACTTGCCTCTTTACATGCTTGGCTAAAGTCTTCTTGCTGGCGTGAAGTTTATTACAATAAGGGCATTTGTGCTCCTTCTTAGGAAATTCTCTTTCACTGCTGTGCCTCTTTCTGTGAACAGTTAAGTTAGACTTTGTTGAGTAGCGCTGGTGACAAACGTCACACTCAAAGGGCTTCTCACCGGTGTGCACACGGGTGTGGCTTTCATATTTCCCTATAAAAAGAAAAATTATGTTTAATCGTATATTTGCTGCACTGTGGCTGAAATTTGACAGTGGAATAAAGGTTATGATTTAGCAAATTTAAAATACAATCCCAAATCCACACAGAAAACGAGAAAAAAACGACCTAAACTTCTAACTCAGAGAAACCACCAAGATTGCTTTGAGCTTATCGTTCGGTATATACTTTCTCTAAAAAACTGGGGTCATTTGAAAACAATTATTCATGTCACACATTTTATTCACATCATACATTTGACATGAGTGATTTAAAAAAATATTTAAAAACTGTTGGCAAATTCTCTAAACTTAAAACTTTAAAAATTTTAAAACTAGCCTTTAGCAAAATATCTACTCATTATTATTTTCATAATTTACTATTACTATGTACATCCATAAAATGGAGGGAAATCATAATCTTTTATAAATACCCTAAATAAGGAAAATAATATACATATATTATATATTTTCATTTTTCTTCTCACAGAAGGTAATCTGGAGGGGCACTACAAAACTAGAGTACTGATCAAGACATGTACTCCACTCTAACATATTCATGTAAGAATTCCCCAACTTATAATAAACTAGGAAAGAAGGAAACTAACATTTGCATGCTTAGTACTAATCTTCTAAAGCCAATATATACAGATGGTATAAGACAGTGGTGGCAAACCTGTGGCACGCAAGCTGCAGTGGGCTGTTTCACTGAATGCTCTAAAAGGTTCACTATCACTGGTATAAGAAAAAACAGGAAAGCACGAACAGGTATAATGGATAGTCCTACATAAAGTGAGATTAGCATTATAATCTGCGTATCTAAGTGCTACATTTTCAGAACAGATGTTACAGCATTTCCAATAGTAATAACCAAGATAATTTAACATAGACTTCTCAAAGAGAAAAGTTACAGTGAAAAAATGAAAGGCAAAGATATATTTTAAACAGAGTATGGTTGTGTACACCAGTAAATGCAGCTATTCAGGAGACTGAGGGAAGAGGACTGCAAGTTTGTAGCCAGCCTGAACAATTTAGCAAGACCCTATCTCAAAAGTAAAAATAAACTAGGGGATGTAGCTCAGGGGTAGAGTGCTTGTCTAGCATGTGTGAGCCGCTACATTCAATCCCAGCACTAGAAAAAAACATTGGCTTAGAAAAAGTTCTTCTATATCATTATTTAGAACATAAACTTCTACATTCCATAGGCAAAACAGCATCACAGATAAACACATGGACCATGCACTAGGGCCATGCACTGGGATATGAATCCTAATAACAGGCTATAGGACCTTGGACAAGTAATCTTTCTATGCCTCAAATATTCCTGGACTAAAAAACTGGGATAATCACATTTTTACAACTTTATAGGAAATCAAGGCATTTTCCTTAAAGTAAGAGGAAGGATATCAATCAAAAACAAAGAAAAACAGAAGTTGGACAAAACCCATTAGGCATTTAAGTATAGACTATGTAGGTAATTTTTTTTTTTTTTTTTGTAAAACATGCATGTAGCCAGAAAACATAGCCAATGTTTGGACATTTCCTAAACAGTGTATCTTAATTAGGCTAATAATTCAACTTCTGTGTACCTGAGTTAGTAACACTTCATCAGATTTTGAGAAATAAATTATACATGACACTATAACATTCTAATGTAAGCACTAGTGATTAATAGCCATCATTAACATTAGCATATGAATTACTGATCACAGTACGGACATGTAGATATACCTCAACTGCAAATCAAGCTACACCTAACTTATAACTATCCATTCCAAGACATATGAATGGTTTTCAATTCTGAGAACCTGCCACTGCTAACAGCGCCTAGTGTATCAGTTCCCTATAGACCAGTGCTAAAGCACACCTTCCCATTTACATATTCTTACAAATATCCTACCTCCATCATTCCCTTTACTGTGTTCAAGAGATCAGATCTAACATTGGGAAAAAGACAGAGGTCATTATATGAAACTTAAAAAAACGGTTTTCCTTGATTATAAAAGTTTTACATTTCACTTTTAAAACTATGTAAATAACACAAACTCATTGCAAAGTATGTAAACAAATCAAGAATATACAGTCTGATTTTTAAATGACCAATAAAGTGATTTTTGGAATCCATTCATTCTTAACTAGGGATTAACTGTGGCTGTGACGTTTAGAACAGATTTTTAAGACTGAAAGATACTTTATCAACCTTCTAGTGCTTAATCTCATTACTTATTACCAAGTGAACAAGAACACTAACTTAATAAACATCTTAAAGGATAAGAAAAATTTTGTAGCAATCTTTTACTGTCTACAAAAATACCTTTGCTGTAAAGATGCTGTATTAAATATTCAGTAATATTTTCCTTGTACTTAAGTCTTTTCTTGTTAGCAAATAAAAATTAAGTTACATGCTATTCAATACTAAAACCATCAAAGTGGCAGGTAAGTTAAAAAATCAAAACCATTTTGCCTACTAGGTTTCCATTTTCCTACAGATGAGCAGACGTGAAAAGATTTAAACCAGATAATAGACACTAAAGTTAAACTGAAATAGCTGTTAGACAACACTAAAGATTTTTAAAAACAATTTTAAATGCATTCTGCAAAAACCCATGAAAACAGAGAATTCATTATAACATTAAAACTTTTCTTGTTATTAAAGTTTAAGGCCACAACCCTTGTAAGACCTATTATCTCCATGGATTTGAAATTCTGAATAGAAGAAATAACCCAGAGGGAATGCTGGATTCAAAAGAGCCAGAGAGATCTCCAGAGACTAGTGGGAGGATAAAAATTTACCACCAAATAAATATCACATTTAAAGCAATTAGTAAGGGTGTATGTGTGTGTTGGGGGGAGGATATGCCTCAGCAGAAAACATCAGTATCTACATCTGTTTCTTCGTATTTATGTGGGGGGAGATACAATAATAAAGTATAAATCAAAAGGTTCTTCAAATGTACCAGTTCTAATTAAAAAATAAGTGTTCCTTCATAGAATATGACATTACATCCAAGCACTTTTGATTGGCAACAAAAACTACCTAATATTAAGAAATCTTATCCACAGTACTTTTCTGAACTAAATCCCATTATGAACTGTCTCAAATCATTTTCACATAAACAAATTTGACCTTGGGTTTCAGTATTGCCTTACACATGCCATGCAAAATTGTCAATTTGTATGCAGTTTTTCTAAAAAGAAATGTTAGTACATTTTTTATATATCTGATACTACTAAATCTTAAACAGTATCTTGAATCTATTCATATAACATACTATAAAAAATACATAACTAAAATATTTAGTCTTAAACTAAATTATGCCATTGTTGTACTAACTCTTCACTAAGAACTAAGTGGATCTGTCAGGATGGACTAGTATCTCATTTTTTAAAAGGGTTGCACAAAATATTTTTTACCTCTAGAAGAGATTGTGATTTTAATCCAAGGAAAGACTTTAGTTCTCTGTAGGAAAAATAAAACAGAAAAATTATCCAAATTTTCTCTCACCCCATCTGTCTTTTTATTTTTGCATCTTTACCCACTAGGTTTTTGGTGTAAGGGGAAAGGTCAGAGAATTCTTATTTGCAGGAGAATTTGCAGAGAAAAGGACAGCTGGAAAGGACAGCTAAGGAAAGATAGAACTGGATCAGAAGTCTCACTTCAACCAACTATTAAGAACATCAGAAAAGATAAAAGATCCGCAGTAATTCAATCAAATTATTACATTACACGTTGTTTAGCTAATGGTTCAAGTGAGTCTCTCAAATTCATTCCAAGGCAGCCAAGTTAAAAGCTGATAAGGAAGTGTAACTGGCTTCTTACAAGTTCAATGTGAAGCGAGATACCAACTTTTCCACTTAGCTCAAATAAATAAGCATTTACTGAAATTTTACTACTTAAAATGACCTAGGATATTACTTAAAATGACCAAGAATACTAATGAAGAGTAAAACGCATAAGCTTCAAGCTCCAAATTTAGTTAGAATTAACAATCAATGAGATAAAATAACACCCAACAATCTGGGTGGACATTTTTAAGTCCTATGAAAGGAATAAATGTAATACAAGGATTGGATGGTAGCTCTTAAACTGCTCAGAAAATACAGGACACTTCAGATATACATTCTATATATTCTTTTCATTCTACTCACCACCAATCCATACCATTTAATGTTCAGTACAACACTATGCTCTACCCTTGTCTCATTTTTCATTCCCAATACCATTCATCTTCTTGGTCCTGGCAGCAGTGTGCTTCTGGTCATTTGCTATATGCTCCTTCTTGTCTCCCTGGCTTTCTCATTCCTTTTCCCAATTTCCTTTCTACAGTGAAGCCGAAGTGATCTTTCTATAACTCCTATAGGCTGCCATTTTCTTTGTCAAGTGTTTTTGAACACTTGTTTCTCTCAGACAACATCTAAAGTCCTCTGTACCGCATACAAGCCATTCAAAATCTGACCTCTTCATACTTGCCGATCCTCATCTCCTATTATTTGCATTAGAATTCCTTGCCCATCTTGAAACCATACACATCTTAGTGATCTGTAGAATACAACATACCTCAATGCCTTTGTAAATTGGTCCTCCTGCCTTGTAAATTCCTACTAAGTCTCAGCTCAAATACTGCTTGCTCTATAAAACATCTTCTGATCCCCACAGTCCTCTGTATTTATCTTGGTAAGATTATCGTTATTATAATATAGTTGTTTTCTGTATGCACCCATTAAGCTCTAAAATTTCAGAGGATATATCATTTCATATTTATTTATGAAAGTGTTAGGCAGCTTAGAGACAATAAATGTTTGATTCCTGAATAAGAGCAGCTATCATTCCTTGAACACTTAAATCTGTGCAATATCTTAAGTGATTCCTTATCCCCTTTATTCCTCATCATAATCCTCCATAAGAAGGTGCTATTAGCATCACATTAGCATGGTCTCACACAGAAAACAAAAGCAGATGGGCTAAGTCCTGTATTAAAGTCCTGGATTAAAAAAATTCAGGCAGCCTGATATTACTTAGCTTATGCTTTTTAATCTATTTGATATAAGATATACATAAAAGGAAGACAGAGAGAGATATACTAATGTAGTAGAGACGAGAAAGTACTAGCAAAAAGCAAGCACCTCTAATATGGATAAGCATAAGGGGAGAAGTGTAATGTAAAGCACGTTTTGAAAGTAATCTAGACATGAGCCTACAGTGTGACCTATTGATTCCGTAACTACCTGGACTTAATTTGGTAAAAGGCATTTTACAGCCCTCCTCTTAGTACAACACACCTTAATTTTGAACAATGTCTTCTGAATTTGTGTAAAACTCTAGTTTCCTGGGACATTAAATGCAGTTCTCTCAAAAGTGTCTTGTGATAAAATTTGAAGGAATGCTATAGTAAGCAAAATTCAGTTTGTTTCTTTTTAGAAAATGTCACAGAACAGATTATGTATTATGGAAAAGTTGCGTTGTTTTTTTTTTGTACCAGTTATTGCACTCGGGACCTTGCGCTTGCCAGGCAGGCAGCGGAACCACTGAGCTAAATCCCTGCCCCTAGTTTATGTATTATAAAGTATAGTTTACCCAATTGTCTTGTGTGTGGTACAGGGCCTTGCAAATGCTAGTCAAGCAACAGATCTACCACTGAGCTATAGCCTAGGCCCTAGCTTTCCCAATCTTACTGGGACCCTGAATTTCTCTCCCTCATAAACCATCTCACAGCCCAATCTCACTGTTCAGCAGGATAATCTGAGATCTATGTGCTGGACCTATAATGCATGCTGTGAAATGACCCTTGCTCAGTCATCTCCAAGTCAAATTGGTCAATTAAGGCAGAATCCAGGAAGCATGTGCTAAGGTACAAAGTCTAAGACAGAATCCATCAGAAAGATGAAATGTTCTCAAATACCTCAACCCAAAATAGCAGTTCTCTCCTCTATATATACCCTCATAGTACTCGTTAATAGCTCTAAAACACTGTTAATTAGCCTAACAAGTTCCTTGTATAAATAAGTTCTTCCAATTGGCTAAACTACCAAAGAAGTTATTTTATTCATATTTGTACAGAGCTTCACAGTAAAAAAATTAATAAATTATTAAACTGGATTGTTGAAAGAGTTCTCATTCAGAAATAGTCAATAAGCATTTAAAAAGCAAAAAGTTACCATGGTAATGCCATAGTGTATATTGTAGCATATTTTGATAACAATTGATTACCAAAAATTTACAAAGCCAATTTCTACCTAGATCAGTAACATAAGTAACTGAACAGTACCAGAGACATGGGCATAAACTAAACTGTGTAACTAATTTTATAAGATTAGGTTGCACTTACATTTTATCATTGTACTGGTTAAAATATATTTCACAATTCCCTAACTTGAATTTACATGTAAAGAGCTTAACTATTGCAATTGAAAGTATATATTAGAATAATAGTTCATATAAGACACTTTCAAAAATTATTTACTAGCAAATTTTACTAGATTTTACTAGCAATCTCAAAATATTAAATAAAGGCTTCAGGTTATAGAACACATTTCTTAGGCTTTTCTAATGGGGAAAAGTTGACAACTAATTAGGGTACTTCCTAAATTATCTACCTACAGTATTAAATTATATTCAGCACAATTTTATTTTTCACTGCATATTAGTCTAATACATCACAATTCTAAAAACTGCTGAATACTAGAAAGGTGACTGTATTTATAACATACATAGCACAAAGCATAAGGAGGAAATAGTATACAAATTATTAAATTAAATCTGATATAATTAATGACTCAAAAGTAGCACTTATCTCTGAAATTAAATTGCTGTATAAACCAAAGCTGTACATAATTATTAATACTCTAGAGTCTTTCACACCAAATATATGAACTAACGATCTGTTAGCTGTTAGGATACAATGAAGAAAAAGTAGCATGTAAAGCATAATATAAATACTTAATTCCTGAGTCACAACAAATTTAAAAGAACAGGATAAACTGTATTGAAAAACTGAATTATCATCCCTACTTAGGCATTCTTTTAAAGTTACTTTCAAAGTTTAGTTTTAAATTATCACCTTTAAGAGATCAAACAAAGGTAAGTCATTAGAGACACAAAACAAAGCTTTCTTTTCTTACCTATTCGGTCAAATGTTTTATCACATTTAGGACACTGCAATATTTTTTTGTTACTGTTTTGAATGACTACTGGAGTTAACCCTTCATGAATGTTTCCTACAGAATCAGCAGCTTCAGGTTCCTCTTCCGCATCATTATCTTTTTCACTTTGTTCTTCAATGTCAGAATATTCATCTGACATCTCCTCTTCTAGCTCATCCTCTTCAGCATTATATTCACTTCCAGGATCCTCTGAATCATTTCTATCCGACTTTTCCTTATCAAAACTTTCTTGATTCAAATTGTCTGACCCATCACCACTTTCTTGTTCATCATCACTGGTGTCATCAAATTTAATAGGGCACTTCCGATTCCTTTTTGATCTTCTTGCTGAAAAACTTCTCTCCAGCATTTTTAACCCATGTTTTTTCCCTAATAAAAGGGACCTATGAGTTTTAGCCAAGTGATTCTCTAAAGACTTTTTATAACAAAAATGTCTACTACAGAATTTGCACTGATGATTATTTGATAGTCTTCCAGTTAATTCATTTAGTGTTTCTTCTGGTGAGGACTTTTCAGTTAGTTCTGATTGAAAAGTGGCAACATTTTCATTATTTAGCAGCTTTACTGCATCTATAATGTCCAAAAATTTTGCAGCCTCTAAAACAAGAGGTATTTCATATTTGTACACAAAGAACTCTGATGTATAAAGAAATTCAAGCAAATGCTGAAAAACTGAATGTGTTACGTGATCCAGGGTGACAACATCAGTGCTTGGATTTTTACTCAAACATGCATGAAAATAACTACTGCCAACAGCAACGACTACTTTATGTGCACTAAATTCTTTTCCTTCTACTATGATAAGTAAATCACAGAAAGATGGTTGCTTCTGCCTATCATCATTTAAGTACTTTAGCAAATTCTTATTATACTGCAAAGAACTCAAAAGCTTTCTCTGATCTGGAGAGGGAGGAAGGTCCTGGTAACAGTGAAGAGCTTCAGGTCTTTCTGTAGAATGAGTGGTCACTTGGTCACACTCCACTGCAACATTTCCTTCTGAAGAATCTTTATGATAGCCTAGATGAATCTTTTCGTCAAGACTTGAAGCAACCTTTCTCCTTTTCTTCATTGCAGTACAGCAATTTCAAAACAGGAAACTTCATAAGGGTCTTAAAGAGATTTATAAAGGAAAACTAGATTGTCTTGGTTAACAGCTTCTGCAGGGGCGTGCCCGAGGGTTTCATGGTCTGCAAAAGTGTAAGAATCATGTAAATTAACTCCTAAAGCAATCTTAAAGGAGTCAAGCAATCTGTCAACTCATCTCTTCTAAATTATAACTAAATTATGACAAAGTCGCAACATTCATTCATGGTTAAGATTTTAGGGCGGTGAACAAGGAGGGCCAGGTTAGAAAAGACAGCCAACAAAAGAATAATTTTAAAGGAAGCCAGAGCACACCTCCCAGGCCTGATTTACCAACAGGGTGGTAGTAACTGAGCAGAAATGGGTGGAATCCCTCCAAGATCACTTACATAGTGCAGATCGAGGGGGGCTTCGGTCGTGGTTTAGGGGTGCTAGGAGAGTGACAATAAAGGCGTCGCGGACGCAAAACCCGAGGCTCTCCATAAACGTGTTTTCCCGGGGCAGACAAGGCACAGTTTTTCAGACACAGAGCGCGTCCCTCGCCCCAAAACCTCCGGGCAGGAGACGGCCCCAGGAGGGGCGCAGACCTAGAGAAGCGAGGTCACCCGGAGGGAGGACTAAAGGGAGCCACAGAGCTTTCCCAGGCCCCGGCTAGGCGGAGAGTGCTCTCGCCGATAAGAAGCCCGCTACCCTTCCCACCCAGTTCCCCAGGGCAAACGCCCCGCCGACCCATTACCGGGAACCCAAGGCTCCCCCGCTGGCTCCCTGCCGCCGAGCTCCACTCAGGGCGCGCTCTCTCCAGCGCCTACCCACTTCCGGGTTCAGCCCCCCACCTCACCCCCTCCGCCGCTCCTTCCCCTCCCGGAGTCAGGCAGCCTCCGTACCGCCGAACGCGTCAACCGAGCGCGCAGCCTCCAAGCGGCCTAGAGAGACCGGCGCGCGCCCCCTGCGCCGCCGAAGCGCATGCGTGCGCACTCTTCTTTACGCATGCTCTATAGCGTCAACTGGCTCCTTTGGGAACCCTGAAGTCTCTTACTCCAGGTTTTCGTAGAAGCTGGACGGCTCGCGGTGCTTGAACCGGCGAATCTTTGCTTCGGGTGGGGAAAGAAAGGGGAGAGGATTGATGTGGAGTGTGTAAGAAATCGATAGAGGCGCAGTAGCGCGGCCAGATTACATTCTCACTGGTGTATTTAATAGTTTGAAACCAACCAAACCCTAACCGCCGGAAACCGATCCCAGCGCGCACACTGGCAAACACCTAACCGGTACGGATTTCGCCTCGTTAGATGTAAATGGCAAGGCTTAAATGCAGTTGCTGCTAAAAAATTTTAGAACTTTTTATTGCACGCAGAAAGCATAGAAAAAAGATACAGATGGTAGAAAAGTATACCAAAACAAAAAACTCCAAATGAGAACTTTTGGAGTTAATAGCTGGTGTTTTGCTTTTCTGATAGTCCCACTTGGACAGATACTACAGGTGTGAGATCACATTTTGAGTAGAAAGCTAGGTCATGCGATTTGGGGCATAAGGACAGTAAGTGATCAAATGAAATGGGCCCAACCTCTCTTAGCATCCACTCCGCGCTCCCACAGTGTGGCTGGGAATCCAGATACGCTTTCAGTGGGGTTGGATGATTCTCTTGTGGATAGGAGGACTTTTGAGGACATGCCTAAAATTTGTTTGCTCAAACACACTGTTGTGTAGGTATGTTTTAGATGTGATTAACAGGCAATCAGTAGACTTTGGGTAGATTACCCTCTAGTACTGTGATGGACCACAGCCTATCAGTTGGAAACCTCAGAAGCAAAAACTTGTGTTTGCCAAGAAACAGTTTTCCTTAAGACTTCAACTTATGAAACTTCCCTGAGTTTTCAGCTGTTGCTCAGCAGAATTTGCATCAAAACTGAAACCTCAAGTCTTCTATGAAATTTCAGCCTACAGGCCTATTCTATGGATTTTAGACCTTCCACCCCTACAATCATGTGAGCCAACTCCTTCATATCTCTGCCTCCATCCTATTTCTCAATCATATAGCACTAAAGTTCAGGACATCCACCACCCTAAAGATGCCAGAAATTTTGGCAGAAAAGATAACAAACAGGGCAAAGGCTCACAAAAGAAACAAGGCTAAGAAACAGAATCTTCAGACATCAACATTTCTTTCCACTATCTTCCTTTTGATGATCAGTTTTGGTTTTAACTTCCTTTAGCAAGCTGTTTCACAAGTTTATTTCTAAATATGTAATTTATTTTCATTTATTCAAGTGCATATGTGTCAAACAGGTACTTTGAGGAATGAAATTTTAAATAAACATTTTTCAATAGCATCACAAATATGAAATAAGAAATACCTAGGAATGAATCTTAACAAGTTATAGTCAACCTTTATATACGATTCTCTTCAACGGGACTAGCAAACTACTTTCTGTCAAGGGCCAAATATAAAATAGTTTTTTTCTCTATCTCACTTTTTTCCGCATTTTAAAAAACAATGCTTTAAAAATGAAAAAGGATTCTTATAAACCATACAAAAAAGCAACCACAAGTGAAATATGGCATATCATCATGGTTTTCTGACTTCTAAAACATTTCAGAGAAGCTGAAGACCTAAATAATTGAAAAAAATAAGCTTCATTAGCCCCTTTGGGCTCCTATGAAAAATACCATAGACTGAAATTAAACAATAGAAATTAATTTCTCACAGTTCATGGAAAGTCGCAGACGATGCTGCTAGCATTCAATGGGTGGTGAGGCTTTTTTGCTGTGTGCTCATCTGGCAGAAGGGATGAAAACTGTATCTCCGTGTGGTAGACACAGCACAAGGGCAAAAAAGAGCCTTGAACCACTTCCCTCCAGCTATTTATTTTATTGTTGATTGCTTGATTGTATTAGGGACAAGTTAGGCAAGTGTTTAGTTAGTGTACTAAACTACATTAGTAAACCTTTTGGGGGGGGCGGGGGGAGACTGACTCTTGCTAAATTGCCCAGGTTTTGAATTTGCTATCTTCCTCGATCAGTCTTCATCAGTCTTTCGACTAGCTAGGATTGCAGGCATATGCCACTACATCGGTTCCTCCAGCTCTTTTTTAAGGCACATTCACCAGTGAAGGCAGAAACCTCCTAATAATCACTTCTCAAACGGCCCCACCTCTTAATGCCCCTAGAAAGGAAATTAGGTTTGAGTGTGTGAATTCTCTTTCGGGTGGGTATGACATTCGGACCATAACATATACCATATGTAAAGATTAGACTAATCAATATTATAAGGATGTCTTCAAATTAATGTATAGATTTTAAAACATCAAGAAATTGGACTTAATCAATGTTAAACTTTTTTTCAAAAGCTATCCTTAAAAAAAAGGAGAAACCATAGACTAGAAGAAGACCTTTGATAAATATGTATCTGGCAAAAAATTTATATGGAGAATATAAAAAACTAATCAATAAGATGAAATATATATGTATTAAAGTAAGCAGAATATTTGAAGAGAAATACATGGGAGGATCTTATTTTGAATTTATATTTTAATAGAGATGTAAATTAGCCACAATTAGATACCTCTATACATCTATAAGAATATCAAAATTGTTGGTGAGGATGTGGAGCCACTGAAAAATCTTACACACTTCTTGTGGGAATATAAATGGTACAGGCACATTGGAAAATGGGTAATTCCAAAAACATCATACTTATGCACACTATACAAGAAAACCATTCCGTCTTCATCCAACAGAAATTACTGGTTCCATACAGCTTTACTTACAAAAAATTCATAATCATTTTGCTTGTAGTCACCAAAAACTGAAAACAATCCAAATGTCCCCACACAGATGAATGTTCCCAAAAAATGCATAATCACATAATAAAATACTATTATTAGACAATAAACTAATGATAAAAGGAAACAACATAAATATGTCTCAAGTATGCTGAGTAAAAGACAATTTGTACATGATCAAAACTTTAGAAACTGTTAGTTACACTAACAATGCTAATCAATTGGTTGTACAATTGAGGGGAGAGGCAGGGAAAAGTGAGAGATTACAAAAAGGTAAAAGGTAACATTTGTTCATGCTTTTGATTATAGGGATGGTTTCACCAGAGCATACACATGTTATAACTTACCATACACTTTAAATGCATGTACAATGTTCTGTAAGAAACCTAATTAAAGCCATTAAAAAAGACACAACAACAGAAAAATTCAGTGAAACACAAAAGAGAAACAGAAAATCCTGAAATGGACCCAAATTCACAGGCAAATTTACTTTATGAAAAGATAAAATCTTCAGTTCCTGATAAGAAAATTGACTTTCTAGTTAATAAGAATGAAAAATGAAATGGATATAAGAAATAAAAAAGTCTTATATGAATTTCTCTATAGATTAATACAAAATGGATTAAAGGTTTCAATGTAGAAACTGAAGCCATGAAAGTATTGTAGTAAACATTTTTTTTTTTTTTTGAGACAGGGTCTCGCTATGTAGTTCAAGCTGACCTTGAATTCACTATGTAGCTAGCCCAAGCTATCTTCGAACTTAGGGCAATCCTCCTGCCTCAGCTCCCAGAGTGCTAGAATGGCAAGCATGTGCCACCACACCTGGCAAAAACTGGCATTACAATGGAAAAGGTCTCTTTATAAATCTGAATTCAGAAGCTATTAAAGGGAAATTATTAAATCATCATATAGATTTTTTTTTAAATTGCGTGGAAAAGGAATGATGTATTAAGACGTAACCCTTGGGCCACTCCTGTAATCTCAGCACTGTGGAAGGCAGAGACAGAAGATCACAGGTTTCAGCCCAGCCTGGGCAATTTAATGACTTAGTAAGACCCTACTCAAAATAAAATTTTCCAAAAAGCCTCGAATGTAGCTCACAGGGAAGGCCCTGGTTTCAATCCCCAGTACAACCAAAAAAGAAAAAGATTTGAACCCTGACTTTTGACTGTATTCTTCTTATGATATTACCCTACCTCAACTTATTTTTAAGAGCAAAAGAGAAAAATTCAGGCAATGTTACTATGTTCTGGACAAACTACTTTTTCTAAATAATTGCCATTGAAAATATTCAGCTGACTGAAAAATAGCTATGAATCTCTAAGAAATTAATGATTGTCAAGGTATAAAAACTGAAAGGGTCCCAAAGATGATGGCATCCTCCAAGTTTTCCCCTCTAGTCAAGAACTGTTTATATTAATGACACACATCAATAATAATATAACTGGGTCTCAGTTTAATTTCCTGGAACACGAATCTACTTTTATGGGTAATGGGAACAATTATTTTGATTTAAATTTAAGCAGTCTTAAATTACCTGGCAGTTTTGGTGTAATCATGTAAAATAAGTGTTGCAATATCTTTATATTTTCTATGCTTAAAAGCTTGCTTCCCCACCCCCAGGCCCTCTAAATATAATTTTCTCTCTTCACAATATTATTTTTCCACTATGTTCCATCTGTTATTTTAGTGCAGTCCCATCGATTTACATGATTTTTTTTGGCTTAAATTATTTTATTGGTACATTTTAGGTTTACAGTATGTTTAC